CAAGGGCGGTGAGTCATGCTAAAATAGGGACACAGAGAAATGGCTGGAGAGAGGTAAAACTTCAGGGCATGATGTCCTGTTGTTGTCAAAAACAAGCCTCAAAATATCTCATGATTTAAAAATATGTAACTTTTAAACAAACTGTCCAACAGTCAAACTCAAAGATGTGTCAAAATAGGAAAACAGAGCTGTGGTCTTACCAGTAAACCACTACAGTGTGGTTTAGAAACTGAGTGAGACGCCTGGTTTCAAAGAGAAGGGGCACATCCAGCACCACATAGCGGTAACCTAGGGAGACAGAAGAGGAGGAGAGGAGGGGATGTTAACACACTTAAGCAGGGCTCGACATTATAACTGATTGCAATTCACCTCTCATACCGGTGTTATGTCAGTAATTATTTTTAAAATGTTGCGCTAATAACTGCAACAGCATCAACGCATCATAATCATCATGTGTGTCACAGTTGAAAGGCAGCCGACAGCTTCACTGCTGTCCCTCCTACTAGCGCGCTCGCTACTCTCGAATTGTACAGTCGCACACAGACTTTAGCGCACGTTTTCCCTGATAAAAAACAGTTTTAAAACCATCAGATCCCGACAAAAAACGGGCTTAAATCAGCATTCAAAGGAAAACAATCACCGGAAGAGTCGAAAGTGACAGCAGGGCGTGACGAAAACAGAAGGGAGAAAAGTTTCAGCCACAGTGACAGACAGCTGGAGGAGCTGGAACACCCTGCAGCTAAATATCCCCTTAAAGTTAAAGACTAGATCCTGGTAAAGATAAAAGTTATTCACAAAGCAAGAGAGCTCCTCAAGCGAGGATCTAAGGAGGAAGAGTTTCTCACAGAGAAGAAAGAAGGAGAGAAAGATCTATCACAGCCTCATGTTAATATCAGATTAAGTAGACTTACAGTTACCAGCATGGTGAATAAACACGAGCACAAAAATATAAGAAAAATACAAAATATTTTATTTTCAATTAATTAAATAAAAGTTGTAATTTACTTTTGCATCAGAATGGTTCAAAAGTAAATTGGTGACTGTTATTTTTCCAATCAAAAGTAACGTTCGGGGCCAGCGGCTACAATGGTCGGGCCAGTGATCTTTGAAAACTGGTTCACACATCGCCATTCAAACAGCGCCTGAGTTAAATTCTACCATGATTACGCCTTTGTACTCATACAATGCCTCTGCAATGGTGTAATATTGGTGTCCCTGTGCGTGGTTTCACATTGTGTTATGGCGTTGCAGAAGCTCAAGAGGTATGACTTGTGTACAAACAGTCCTGGTACACGCACGCACGCACCTTAAAGTACCCATTCAGTGCAGTGATCTCATTATCGACTCGGGTCTCCTCTCCAAATCAACAGTCTACACTTCAAAAAGAAACTAGCGTTTGAGAGACTCAAAGCTCAGAGACTCTAACTGTAAACGTAGAAGAAAGAAAAACAAAATATTGGCTTTCAGAAATCAGAATAGCGAGTTCAAATGATTTTCAAAGATAAAATGATGGGGGAAAAAAACAGGGTCTTCTTCTGCAGACACAGGATATCAGGATGGGCTGCACATCAAGCTGATGCACTGTTACCTCAGCTAGGCTAGGCTAGCTTCAGTGAACTGAGCCAGGTCTTACAAAGTGTTTGCAATCAAATCACATAAATGCAGGGGTACGCATACATCTCTTCGTTAGTAGTAAGAAGATTTATATTTTTTAAGAGGCTAGAATGGTTCCTTGGTAAAGGCCTATTCTCAAATCCAGTTATTGAAATCCACATTGACGTCAAAAGGTATTCCAACACTTTCACGAGTGGTGTACAAGCAGTGTATCATGAGGCCCTCTCTATATGAAGAAATGTATTAAAATGAGTGCGAGTCTTGGATGTTGCAGTATACTTATATAACTTGTGATTTGATTTTTTAACAGAAAAAGTCTTGTTTGCAGAAACTTTTTACTCCTTTTATCACCTCTTACCTTATAAAGTGTTTGGCATATTCTCAAATCTTTCACTTCTTGGCTCACAGAGAGCTTTGTGAGACGCAGCCTAAGACCCTAAAGCCCATTGCTGCGCTGCCAAACAGCCTTGGCTCCCTTTCAGTGAAGTATTCTCGGTTTCACTGTTAAACAGATAACCGAGCCAAACTCACCCCTGAGAAAGTAGAACAGGATCTCTTTGAGCATCGCTTTATGGATCTCCGGGTGGGTGATGGAGTTCAGGAGCTTCCTTTTCTCCTCGTTGGTGAAGATGAGCTGACCCAGCTTCTGGCGGTCGATCTCCCCGTTCTCCAGGAGGATCTCTGGCCCGAAGTGGTAGACGATGCGGGTGTAGGCAGGGGTGTGTGGCTCCACAACTGCGGAGGAAGTGACATATGAGATTTTCCATTAAATTCTTTTGTTTTCTTAATAAAACAAGTGAGTCAAATATTACGTGTATCAGTGAGCTCATACAGTGGCAGGAAAACACATGATAGTGCAAAGGGGTTCATATAAAGGCCAGCAAAAGATACATAGAAGGGGAAAAGGTGGTTCTTTTGATAACTCAAGTATCATGACATCATTAGCAATGTGCCTTATACTCTCTTGTACACGCAGCTGTATATTATTCACCTACTCCTGTGACCTTATTATCTCACACAGCTCAAATTCTATCCCTGCAGTCGGCAGAGATGACTGATATGATTCATGCTAGCCCTCCAAGCGATTGTCTTAATGAACCTCCTACAGGCCAAGCGTTAATAAACAAATCTACACCAGTGGCTAATGAGGTAGATGTACGCGAAAACCTCATTTCCCGAAATCTGGAAGACTTTTCTCATGCAGAACAGCTCAGCTGGTGGGCAGTTTCATCCGGAAAATTGTATTCATTTTGGAAAAAAAAGAAAAAATCAAAATGTCATTGAAGATTTTCACCGACCTTTCCTGGCCACAACATCGGCATCAATAATGGGGCAGCCGAGCTCTCGCAGCATCGTGGACACAGTGCTTTTCCCTGAGGCTATACCTCCTGTCAGCCCCACGAGGAACATCTTGGGAGAAAAAACACTGAAAGATAAAAGTCAGAATAGTCATTTTACTGACACGGTTTATTATAAGTAAAAAAAAAAAAAACTGAATAAAATGTATTGGCGCTGGTGGCGCAGTGGTTAGTGCATGTATGGAGGCTGTCATTCCCCACTCTCTCTCTCCTTGATCTCTGACTCTATCCACTGTCCTATCTCTCCATTAAAGGCATAAAAAGCCCCAAAAATAAATATATATATATATATATATATATATATATATATATAATGTGGCAAATGAGAGTGTTGACTGCAAATAAAATCATGAGAAATTACGTAGCTGAGAAATGTTACAGCATCTCTTACTACAAGTGAAAACACAATATAATTAATTATTAACTAATTATTAATTAATTAGTTGTTTAGTTGTAACTATTAATTATTATTAATTAATAGTTAATAGTAGTAACAATAGTTAACTAACTTAAATGCATATCTGCATGTGAGGGGTAAATGTTGACCCTGTTGCTGTCTGAGGTTTAATAGCACGCCCCCTGCTGGTGAGGTGTTGCACTACATTAAGTATTTATAACTTACTAGCTGCTTAAACATAAAAATAAAAACAAACAGTCATGCTTGAGAAAACAACTCTTAACTCTTACTTTGTTATCTATTTTCAAAGACTTGTTTTACGCATGTTTTCGTTTACCTCGTAAACCGAGCGGTACTCCTTCAATCAGCTGATCGCACAGTGGAGCTCCGCGCAGGCTGACAGCAGTCCTGTCCCGCTGCAGTGACAGCAGTCCTGTCCCGCTGCAGTGACAGCAGTCCTGTCCCGCTGCAGTGACAGCAGTCCTGTCCCGCTGCAGTGACAGTAAACAAGCAAGCAGTGCTAACAAAAGCTAACGTTAACACAAGGTGTTGTTCAGGTCAGAGCGACCGCAAATGTACAAACACACGAAGTCTCAGCCATTTCCGCTGCGTCCGGTCTGATAATAAGTCAGACGACACGGAGAGAGAGGTACTTTTAATAACACCGAGTGTAGCTGTCTGCCACTCTTGACTTATGCTGAACTATCTGCTAACGACCTAGCTTCTTAGCGTCACTTCAAAAACTGTCCGATTTTTGTTTAACTTAACATTAGTTCCGCCTAGCTTCCCCCCCCACCCCACCAAGTTCCCGTTCAGCTTGAGCCCCAAAAGTACGGTGGCTTGGAAGTGCAAAGCAAAATTACAAAGTGTTAAAACACTTTTACAAAATGTGAGACAAATTTACATTTTGAAAAACATTTTTAACATTTTATGAAACAAAATTACAAAACCAAAAATACTTACCAAGGACAAAACAAATTTACAAGATGTGAAACACTTTTACAGTCGCTGAGACAAATTTACAAGAGGCAGAATATTGACGGAAAGGGAATGTACCATGACATAAACAAAACAAACAAAATGACCCCTCACTCCGGGTCACTTCCGACATTTGGTACATTCCCATTTTGTCAAGATTCTGTCGTTTGTAAATTTGTTTTATAAGAGGTAAATGTGTTTTTTCTTCTTCTTGGTATAAGTGTTTTGGTTTTGTAATTTTGTTTTCTAAAAATGTAAATTTGTCTCTCATTTGTAATTTTGCTTTGCACTTCCCAGCCACCGTACAAAAGCCAGAGTTACAAACTTCAGCTAAATTAATTGATAGCATTGTTGTATACTATTAAACTAAATGACATCGATTTAGTTTGTTTCTAAAGGAAATAAAGGTTTACATTACATGACTACTGCTCCTGAAATATGACATATTTCCAGGTTTCCTTGCTCCTCTGTAACAATAAACTGGATATGTTTGGTTTGTGGATTAAACAAAACAGTAAGGACTTCATCTGTGGTTTTGGGAATCAGTGGACATTTTCTACATTTACGAACATTTTACAGACTAAACAATTTGTTCACTAATAACGAACACTATCAGCTCTGTGGACCTATTTAAAAAAAATAGTAAGGGTCACTTTCTCCAAAATGTATTTATTTCAAAGCAAACTCAATATTTACATAAATAAAAATGTAAATCAAGTGTTTTTAAACTTAATAAAACGTTTTGACATGATCAAAGTTTCAAGTCCATTCTCGTGTCAGAAAACTCTAGTCTTCTGCACTTTCATCTGCACTTTGTTTTGATGAAGGCATTTCCGAAGTAACCGGCTGACTGGGGGAACTGTGGGAGTGTTTGGACTTTTTCCCTCTGTGGACCATTTCACCTCCGTTGTCCCCTTCCTCCCGCTCCAATCTGCCTCTTTTGACAAAATGGTTTATCCTGGACTCCAGGCTTTCACAGCATGGACGCTCTAGGAGGGGCCGGTAGTTTCTCTGCCTGCTGCCCTCTACCAGACTGCAGTGGTTGGAGGAAATTCCACCTGCGGACAGAGAGAAAGGAAACAAAAACACACAAATGATCTGCGATGTTTATAATATATTGGTTTTAAGCAAAATATTGAAAGGAGTACATGACTTTGGTAAGTCTAAAAATCCCCCTATATGGAGATGTATTCTATCATTTTCATATGCAGTGCATGAAAATATTAATAGGAGGCATTCTAATGGAGTTGCTTGCATTTAAAAAAATGCCAGATCAGTTGATTAGTTCTTCATCTAGATGGAAAAAAGCTTATATTTATGTGAAATAGGTCAATTTATCTCCTTAATAATGAAGACAGATCAGATAAAAACGTAATTTACGACAGGAAATTGACTTTTGTTTTTCTTGAAATAAGAATAATCATGGATATATCAAAAAGGTGCCATGATTAATTGTTCTCATCTAATTACAGCCTCCAGGATCCCTGCCATCTCTGTTTTTTTTTTGGGGGGGGGGGGGGGGAGAGAGTCACAGCTTAATGTTTACTTTAACAAAGCTAACAGACTAACCACTAAACTGAGAATTATAAGGTCCTTTTCGTCTGATTGAAATCCTCACCTATGGTCTCCAAACCCTGGATCATGCCATGGAGGACGTGAGCCTTGACTGCACTCATGGTCCAGTGTTGCGTAAGCGCAGACAGGACATGATTCACCTCCTCGTTCTCCTGCTTCCAGCTCAAACCTTCAAAGTGGCAGTCGTACAGAACCAGCGGATAGTCTACTGCCATGCTGGAGACAACAAGAAGAGAGACGTTTATGAAAGATTCTCACAGTTTGTATTACCCACAGTGTTTGACACTTTCCTGAATTTCATTGATTGTGAATGCACCTGTACTGTGGTTTTCTTGGGTTACTCTGAACATCCAGCAGCTTTTCGATTATCTCCGGGGCTTCCAGTTTCTGTCCTATTAGGAGAAGCAATGCCATCATGCACCGTACCTAAATCACAACAAAATGAGGAAATGCAATTCAGTTAGCGACTTCACCAACAATATAAAAACTCCTCAAGAGATTGCGTGTAAATTGCGATGAAAAGTCGCAAAAAATATCACATTCATTGCTGATCAGATATTTCAAATGTTGGTCTTTCGATACCTGGTGGTAAAGGAAGGCCAGTCCTTTAATCTCGAATACGAAGAGGTCATATTTGTCCGTGCTTGAGACATGCCGAGGCTGCGCAGGCTTCACCGACGCTGACAAGATGGTCCTCTCGAACTGCAGGACTCCGTTTCCCACGTCCATTTTGCATATGTTACGAAAATCGTGAGTGCCTTCGTATCTGTCGGGCGTTCAAGACGTCCATCAGTCAAAAGAACTGCCACTCTGATCGGTACGCTATGTCATGTTCTTCACCCACCTTTTCGCAGCATCTGCCATCAACGCAACATCCAGGCGTCCCCGGGGGAAGTAGTACCGATAGGTGCGGGACTTGCAGTCAAAGCGTGCACTGAAGCCCTCTGCCGCTGGCGCCCAGTCCAAGATCCTGATGTCCTGGGGAGGACTCTGTTAAGCATCTTCACGTATGGAAGTTCAGAGGCAGAAGCTTTGTTTTTGATCGTGGCGTCGACATTTTCAGGGAGCACGAAGCCCAGTCCTCCACTAAACTGCGTGGAGCGCAAATCGATGGTTATGACCTGCGGGGAGGAGGCAAGATGAAGAGAAATAGCTCAGTTAGATGTTTTTGTTTTCTTATTTGAAGATAACACAGCCCCGCCTTCAGTCTCAAGAGAACTCACCTGGGAAAAGGCACTGACTCCCTTATCGGTGCGACCACAGCGGTGATAGTTGGAGCGCTGTCGGTCCTGAATCAGACGCGTCTTCAGCAGAGCTTCAAAGAGTCTGGCCTCCACAGTGTTGTCTGTGTTCTCCTGGACTGCAAACCCCTGGTAGGACCATCCCAGGTAAGCCAGCCGCAACGCCACATGGCGCCGGGGATGAGCGGAGAAGTCGAAGGGACGCTCTTTGCCACTTTTCTTACCTATTTTCTTGCTGCTGCTGCTGGTGGTGTTACAATCAGGTCTGCCCTCTGGGTGTGCATTAGGAGACTGACTGGAAACCAGGTCTGTGTCTTCTCCAGCTTTCCTCTTCTCCTTCAGTTGCGACTTGACTTTCTCCAGCTCTGCCTCCAGCTGCTTTATACGCTGGATCAAAGTTTCCGACATGCTGCTTTCTGAATGAATGAGGAGAGAAACACAATGACTTAATGACTTCCCCAGGTAATTAATACATCTGTAAACTTATACAAAAAAAAAAAAACACAGAATTAGCCATCTTTAATTGTATTTTTAAAAACTCATATTGCTTAAACAAAGTGAGACAGACTTTCACTAAATTCAAAGACGCTGTTTCCCACAATTCATTCAGCTATCTGAACTCTGTTTCACATGTTTACCGGCTACATGCTAAAAACACACTCCCTGTTCGCTCGTCTGCTAAACAGCGCGGTTAAGACCGGATGTGACGCCAAATAAAATTCTTATAAAACATTGTTGTTACCTTTTATTTTAAGTCCCAATGATGCGGATGGGTTTTTCGTTTGTAGGAAGTTTTTAGAGTCGCTAACGCACACGTTACTCTTCAGTTTAATTCACGTCGGACTAGTTTTGACAACGGACGTATTTCCTGTGTAGGGTCACTGGGGAATGTAGTTTATACTGAGATTGCCTAGCGACAAGTGGCCCAAACTTTAACACCGTTTTAGGGGTTTTTAAACCGGTCAACGCACATTTAACATTATTATATACATGTAAGAATCTTATTACATAGCCTAATGTATTTGTTTTTTCATTGTATGTTGTGAAAAGGCTATTTGATAGTTTGACCTCTTCAGTCATGAGCTTACAAGGCGAATATGGGTTTATCTAAACGACAAGAAATAAACAGCTTAATAGGGTAAAAAAAAAAAGCCACTTTCCCAGAATGCATAAATTATTAAAAATACCCCTGCTTGATATGCATGACATTAAAACTACAATAAACCTATCTCATCTCCTGTTTGATAGGCATGAAAGCAAATATATTAACATATCAATGAAATGGTCATATGGTCATAATGGTGAATAAACAAAGCCCAGTAAAGATGAACTAAACTCAAAAATTAAATCAAATATTAGTCAAAAGTAAATGTCATTGATGTGGACAGTCAGTTTGGGCACAATGACACATCAGCGAAGGCTTTTAGTGCTTTGTCATCTCATATCCAGACAGAAGCACCCAGACTGATAACCTAAAACCTGTAACAGTTAAAAAAAAAAAAAAGGTTAGAATTTACTGACAGCATGTGAACTTGCAGTTGGGTGAGAAGGTTATTTTTCTTGTCTCCATAAATTCTAATTAATTCTGGATCGCTCAACCCCAGGCAAACAGAATGAGATAGGCTTTATTATCATTCATGTCATTTTTTACTTTTCCAATATATGCATCACTGTTTGCCTGAACATTTTCTCATGCACATTTTTTTGCAAAGTGCTTAAAAATTAGCTTAATCATGCCGGAAAATACGAGTGAGTTATTCCATTACCAACAGGTACATTTGTCTGTTTAATAGCATTCAGAAGAAACATAGTGCCTTTTTCCACAGCTTAAAAAATTAACATGTGTTTTTTTGCAAACAATTAGGAGCTATTTAAAACGTAAAACTGTATGCATCACATCCTCAAAGAAAAAGGAACATGTAAATACATCTATATAGCCTAATTCTACTATAACATAGTTTACCTCTACAGAGCTATGCTGAAAGCATTCATCCACACCTTCTTTCAACATGACAAGTATATAGTTCAGATAAACCCACAATTTATACCAAGAGTTTTCCTCATTTTGAATAAATGAACTTTTTGTTCTACTTGTTCACCATTTTATTCAGTGTAATCTAAATTCTTGGGCAAAAGGGCACAACAAAGACACACTGCTTTATAATTTTGCTTCGTTTGTGTCATTTACCATTGTTTGCCACACAATATTGAGAAATTGAAATAACAAGATGTGGGGGGAACACGGATGCAAGACAGGGCCTAGAGGCATCGGTTTCACTGTCAGCCGGTCCATCATTTATTGAGACCTTTATTATTACCTAAATCTGTCTTGTCTGGGGATTTAATTACAGTAGGGCTGCACAATAAATCCCAATTTTATCATTATAGCAAAATGAGCTTTCTCAATAAACACACCCCAAAAGTTTGTATCTATCACATGAAATAAGAAAAAAACTAATCTATGCAAATAAGCACTGTGCATGGATACATTTTACACCTTCTTCAATTGTATTCACCAGTAACGTTGCAAAGCAGCTTAAAGGGGCTGTGTGTAACTTTCAAAAATACTGCGTTTGCAGCGATACCGCATGGCCGTTCGGCGAACTGCACCAGTAACCTTTTGCTCGATCTCCCTTGCGTGCTCGTCATACGTGCTCGTACGTACACAAATGAGCATCATCATCGGCCGCGAAACACTGGATGTTTACCTGCATAATGTTTACAGAGGAGGTAAGTGGTCATACACATGTGAAAGTCTGTGAAGGAGTCTGTGTGTCTGTTTTCATTCTCCATCCTACAAACGACAGCCTCAGCAGGCACTGGCTGAGAGCAGGAGTGTGTGATGAGTTTGTACTGTTGATCTGTGTAAGCGGAGCGGAGTGAGGAGGACGTTGAGAGCGTGTATAAAACGTCACTTCAAGCTTTCGCGGAAAATACGACCCGGGGAAACTTTTTATACAGGCAACACAGATAGACAGTGAACATCTACTTTTTCACACCAGTTAACCGTTTGCTTATTAATGGGCGCTAAAAAACGATTTATACATGTAACAAGTTACATATAGCCCCTTTAAGCTAATGCGGCTTCCTAAGTACTGGTTTCTTTATCACACTTCATATCATCACTATCTGAAAAAGACCATACTTCAAAAATGATTGAAATATTTTTGTTAGATTGAATTGCCATATTTAAGCCTTTAAATTCTTATGGAATAACGTCCTGTATTTTTTCATATCACACTATATCAAAGTTATCACTATGTCAGTTTTTCCCTGTTTGTTGTTCGGCCCTACTTTTAAGGAAGGTTCCTGATTTATCTGAATTGGCCTTCAAACTAAAAAAACAAACAAACAAGAGACATCCAATGTGTCATTTTAAAGACAGAATGTGACCCTTTTGTTGCACCAAAATAGTTATAAGGAAAAACATCTGTTGAAACATTTCTGATGGCTGATTTATTTTCTTTTAATCTACCTCCAGCTGTGCAACCACAACACCCCCACCCAAAACTACAGCAAAGACACGTTCTTAATCAAGTCTATGAGGAAACAATTTCATTATGTTATGAGATTATGTTACTTACGCAAGCCATTACAGAAGAATGAATGCTGCAACATGACCCAAGAGAGGCATGAGGGTAACGATAAAACCCATCAACATCGAGGAATAAAGCCACAAGGAGAAAGAGTGAGTGCCAGTAAGTCAAATACTTTAGCCACTGAGGGATGGATTGGGAACACCCTAAGTGTTCTTCACGGCGCAAAGAACCAATGTATTTCTTAGGATGTCGTTGATCTGTTCTTGATCCACATAAATGTACCACTGATCCAATACAACCATACAAAAGAACACACGTTAACTTAAACTGATCTCACAATAACTCACTCAGACACAGTCAAAAACTGTTTGCCTCTTATCACACCTGTGGTGCCAATCACCTGGAGGCATGGGTTTATGCCCATCACAAACCAAGACTCCAGCCATTGTTGAACCGTTGCTGGAAAAATGGGAAAATGGCAAAGCAATTCAATGGGTTTATTTTCTACCAAGAAAGCAAAGAGCTTCTCAAAACCCAGGCAATGGATAAAGAATCAAAGAAGCTAATCAATTAAGCTAACCTAAGAATTTCTTTCATTTCTTTTCTTCTCTCACATGCTTTTATCTGAGCGTTGGGACTTGTTTTCTCTTTTCATCCATTTGATGTCCGAGAACTTCCCCAGAGCTTCTCAGCCAACATGTGGCTTATAGCTGGAGGAGACCTGACACCGCTCCATGGACTGGCTGAGGACAGAGGCCTCTGGCTGCAGCACAACAATCTTTGTCACAGTAGATCGTGCATCTGGGCTGCTGGTGAAGCACTGTCAGTGTCTCTTCACAAATCTTTCTGCTCCCTCAGACTCCAAGCCAGAGTGCATGAGGCTGTGATTGTCAAATTCTGTAGACTCAGTCTATTTGCATTGCAAATTCTGGAGACTCAGTCGCAACTAGATTTTGCTCCCTAACAATTTGTTAAAAAAAGAAATCTGAGGGGATATAAAAGAACATTTCTTTATGACAGCAGTTAAGACCTTAATAGTCTTTAAACATACTGTGTCAGTTGTTTTGTCCTATTTAAAGTTTAACTGAGGGCTTATGGTAACCACTGGTCTTAATTTGCTGTGTGGTAATTAATATTGGGGGACATTTGAGATAATTTCTGAAAAATGAGGTACACAACCACAGGAGGGCCCTATTCCACTTATTTGGGATACAAACTGGAAACTACTATCAGCTGTCCCACGAATTCAAACATGAATAACATCTGCATTGGAGTGGTGAAGTGTTGTTTGAAGGAGTTTGTGGGAACAACACAGAGTTTGTTTGAACATCTTGGGAACAGGAAGTCAAGTTGATTACCATAGTTGGAGTGCTCAGCAACACAGGCCGGCTCATTGCTTTTCCTGTTTTGAATTCCACAAGACTTTTTTTTTTTTTTCAAAAACCTTGCACGATTTCCGTCTGATAAGGAAAACGATTGAGGACAGAGGTGGGGTTCAGGGGCTCTGATATTTACTTTATGGAATATTAACATTGGAGTACAATAATGACATTTTAGAGGAAATGCCATACAGTATATGGACAGGGGGAAAAATGAATGCACATTAACGAATTCTGTGGCATCTTTTCACCTTAAAAGGAAATTTATAAAGAATGTTCCTCAGCTTAGAGTATGGCATAAGGGCCACTCTCCTCAGGGATGATGTCATAAACACTGATATTTTAATGTCATATGCAGCCCTGTTAATTCAGTTTAAACGTAGTACCAAGACATTATGACAAAGTTTTATACAGAGCTTAATTTGAATATAAGATATCTGGTGATACAACGGAGAGCAGAAAATAAGAAACAACATGTCCATTTGCAAGTTCTACAAAACAGAAACAACAAACAACAACTAAAAGTTTTTGTATACCAACATGTTAGAAATTAAATTTGTTATGCAACATGCTGGGGCAGAATCTAATCAGTATGAAGAAGAAATCCTTACATCCGTGAAATCCCGCCAAAAGCTAATTAAACACAGTGCTATTCACATGACATAATGTACAATGAAGCAATACTGAAATTAAAAAAATCAATCAAATGGACCATGAATTAATTTTATAAAAAAAAAAAAATTCTGACTATGGAACAAGTGAAATTAATACTGCTGCCTCTATGTGAGCAAACAAGGCCATAATTGACCGGTCTTACTGTTTCTATATAGACATTGGAATACCTGAAACTGCCACCAGGGGCGGGGGTTAAGATGTCAGATGAATTGAGTAACATTTGCCTTTGTTTGCAGTGAGTGAATGAGATTTCACTTCATCAGACCCTTCTTACAAATGTGCAAGAATAAATCAGCAGAGAGATAAGAAGTACCGCTTTGTCCACAGGGGGCACCAAAAGCGACACATCCTGAAAGTTCCTAACAGGGTCTTTAATTTATTAACCACCTGATTAGTTTGAAGGGTGACATTTTTTTTACATTTGTCTGATCCCTTTGTTGTCCGAACATTATCCAAACATATCGAGATTTTTCTGTTAAGGAAAACTTGAAGATTCTAAAACCTACAAAAAACCTTTCGACAATAGACTGTATTGAACGGGGAGTATTTTTAAACCTCTGTACCGGGTGGGCCGATAACGACATGAGCTATTCATACCAAAATCATTTTTTATACCAGACTGTAAACATATATTTCTGCTGACAAAATATACTTTTTAACATGGGTGTGTATGGGACTTCCCGGTCTTTAAGAGCCATCCCCAAGTGGACAACTAGAGGAACTGCAGTTTTTTTTTCACTCCTGCATTGGCTTCAGTGTGACCTGTGCTTGTTGAAATAAAAAAAAGTTCAACTGTTTGCATTTGAGTGTTTCAACCAACCTTTTCAAATCTCCATATATGGAAAGCTTAACAGACGGTGGAATGAGAACAGTTAATCTGTCCTTGATGTCTGGTCCATCAATCATGCTGCTTATATCACTAGGGGACATAATTTATGTGCCCCCCACCATGTGGAAGCACTTACAAATTCCAGTTCATATAACTCCTTCCTCACATTCTTTCACCGACCAACACGGAGTGAAATGTGACCGTCTAAAACCACAAAATATTAACTCATTTATTGGAAGAAAAAAGGTTACACAACCGTTGACGTTCTTTTGTAATTTAAATCGACTTCTGAAGAAGCACAGATGGGGCTGTCTTAATACTCAGCAGAAACAAATGCAGTCGTTTTCTTAAATACATTTGATAAAAAAAATTCTCATGCTAACATGTACATTTTAATATATATATTCAATATAATTCACAACATGCTGTATTTCTGAAAATTACAATATGTCATTGGCGTATTGCACTTAATGGTATATGAAAAACAGATAAATCTACAATACTGTTTTTTTTCCAGACATATGATTAAATATGTTACTTCATTAACCCTTTAGCATACAGGTATTTCCATACAGGGCTTTCACAACTGCTGTGGGTGAAGGGCTGTGATTCAGGATGATTGAACACAGCTGTGTATGGTTTTGCCTTCACAACCTTCAACCTTTCATCTCTCTCAGTGCATATTGTATGCATGTGAAATGTACCTTTACAGTTATGCAATGTAGTTTACTCTGCGCAGGCCTGCCTCTGCATTGACTGTTGTGTTTTAAGGGCAGAGATTGGCTTCTTAAATAAGTTGCCAATCCATGGCATGTGGCTTTGAGAGGACTACCATCAATGTGTGATGTCGTAAGTTGTCAACTGAGTGAAGCAAAAAGCAAGCAACATGCAGATAATTCCCTCCCTGTGTGACATCTGAATGGTTTCACCTTTTTTGAACAGTTGTGCTGTCCAAATTTTGCGACTATCTCCAAATGTTTCCTTTTAATTTCGACATTTTTTATGAAACAATAAACAAAGATTCTAAGTGTTTTCCCACTCTGTGTGTTTTGTGTGCTACATGCTGAGATTTGTTGTTTTAAAGGGATCCTGTGTAAAAAAACAAAGAAGGTGCATATACAGTCTTCCACTGAAACTGCCTTTACAAATACTCAACATTAACAGCCTCTTTGCTGCTGTAACAATGTAAATTTCCCCATTGTGGGATAAATGAAGGATTATCTTATCTTATCTTATCTACTGACCTTTTAGCCTTTTTAGTATGGGAAAAAGAAACTTCAGTTGACAATCATTACACACAAGGTATACAAAAGAAAACCCATGGGACACACCCAACCATCAGCTTTCACATATCAATAGAATTAAAGGTGTTATTTACAAGTGGAGTTTGCCATTACCCCTCCTCCACCTGTACACAGAGAAACCCCGGAAGTCCTAGCTGCTTTTGAAAAAAGCCACTTCAATGACTTGTCGTCATGTTGCCTGTTGCACAGCAAGCTGCCATACTGGCTTTACTTGATTCCTGCTCTGACTGGCAGTGTGGATCAACCTACATCTGCTGTGCGGTAAAAGGGAAAACATTTTCACAGGAATAAAATGGCAAAAAGAAGCTGACAGCGAGAATTATGTTGTGAAAAAAAAACCAGGTAAATGTGTGTTTTCCCCCTCTTGTGTGTGCTTCTTTTATCTTCATCCACCTCATTCCTTTTTGTTTCCCTTCAGCTTGAATGTTTTCTCTCGCCCACATGTTTCCAACTATCTCTTTTGTTTTCTGTCCCATGTGTGCCTGTGTATCTCCTTCTGTTCTCAGTGTAGGAGGGACAACCAGGGCTGGACATGTGTGTTTCTAATAGGCCTTTCAGATAAAATTGTCTGTTTCCTGTGTACTGTGGGGCTGAGAGTGGGCTGTGATTTGTAGAGGCAGTCTGTGTAAGCAGAGGCCCTCCTGTTAGTATATGTGAGCTTTGCAGTACAACAGACCACAACCTATGAGAAGAGGACAACAATGTCTGACTGATGTGGTCCGTTTTGAAACTTTCATTTCTACCCGAGGATGGACAAGGATGGCAGGAAGCAAACAACCTTTGTCTCAACTTTCCGGTTGGCCCTTAAGCCTCAGGCTAGACCGTTCTGCGTTAAGAGGCAGAAAGAGGATGGACTGGACACCACTGACAGGGCGCTGCTGGGAAACAACAAATGTGAAGTCTTATCTTCAACAGGTAAACACTAAAAGAACAGGCAGAGAGTTGATTTTTCAGGTCAGTGTGTTAGATTTTATTCTAAATGTTGATAGCCTTTGCTTGATATAACATATAAAACAACTGGAAGGAAATCTCCTTTCTCTTGATCTCTCTATAAGCGAGGATAAACAGGATAGTAACAGAAAGTGAACATTTCCAATTAGGAAACTCTAGACGTTAAGTATTTGATACATATGAACATACAGCTATCAGGGGAAACTAGTAATAATGGAATCTATTGGATCTATCATACATGTGTATGATACTGTAAGCCCCCCTGAGGTTTGGCTGCTACTTCACAAACATCATTTTAGGTGCAAATCTTGATATAACAGGGTAACTATGATATGTGTTCCCTAATACACTTAGGCTTTAAAGACACAAAAAGCAACGTGCCTCTGCTTTTCTACCCAAAGCTCATGCACACTAACAAAGTAACTCAAACTAATAGCATTCCTTCATTCACTGGTGACCACCCATTACCCACTCGGCCGGACATTCCAACGCTAACAAACACATGTTCAAATACATGTGGTGGGGCAGTCGTGTAAACACCATGTCACATTCCCCCGACCCTCACAACTGTAACACACTCCACAAGGGTAACGGACTTATTGCACATTCATATCAGTCTTTTTTTTTTTTTTTTTGAATGGACAACTTTTAAAATCCACACAACCAAAGCCTTCTGACTATAATTTAGGGCCTTGTGCATCTTGTTTAGAATGTATTTGAAATGTGAAGAATTTTCATTGACATATTTTCGTAAACTTCCGAGATATTGTGATTAAAAATGTGCATGGTTTTAGCAATAATTGCTCAATTAATTCCATGTACAGATCATAGGAAAAATAACACGGCAGCCAAAAAAAAAGTACTTGAGCAATGAATGAGCAATGTCCATGTGTTGTTATGGATGGATGGAAGTGTTTACTGCCATTTGATCTATTTTCAGGAACAGGTTTTCAACATTGCCAGGAAATTCTTATTTCGTAATAACAGATGTAGCTAACCAAATCATTCCTGCATTTCCTTTATGGCTTTTAGAACAATTGTGGGGGATCTGAGTTATCGCTTTATGCACGGGCTATGAAATGGGTAGCAGGGCGTTTTGAAACTCACTGTTCAGTTAAAATACATATTTTTAGAAGCTTGCTCAGAAACTGGTTCAGACGACTCAAAGATACAAGGCTGCTCTGCTGGTTGTAAGTTGTGCTGTTGTTCTGTTTGAAGCCACGTAGATGTGAATCAAAACAAGGAAAACATGTCAATAAAAGGAGATCTGATAAGCCTACGCAGTCTTTGAAGATTGTCTAAACAACACGATTAGTGTTGTTTTTTAAACTAGGTTGTGATTTTTCCCCCTGATTTTGAAATGCATTTCATCAGACATTATCTCCAGGGCAGAAAGGCTTTCAAAAAAATGTTTTGCAATACAGAACCACTTCACTCAATTAGCTAATACAATTTCTTTCATTAAGGGTGCCCACCCTTATATGGTCAGTGGTGGAGGAAACCACAGACCACTGATTGCGTTCCGTTGAAATATGCCCATAACACATCGCAGCCTATTGTCTTTAACTTCTCGTCTCTTCATAGACTCCAGACTTCAACCTGTCCAGGCGCTGGGAAAGCCTCACTACAAACAACCACTCAGCGACTGCATAGTCTGTGAAGGAAGTGATGCTACTTTTCAAGGTGTTATCACAGGAAGTCTGCCTCTCAGAGTTTCCTGGCAAAACAATGGTAAACAACTGAATACCTTAAACCTACTCTCCATTCTAAGCCAGGGAACTTTGCTTGAATGTATACCAGCCATAGATCTTATCTAAGAGCCACTGCAGTCGGTAGTTAGAAGATTTTTAATAATTAAAGCTCCTTCCTGTTTGCATCGATTTAAGCGCCCCCCTGTGGTCAAATATGTACCTCTTATTCATTTTCCTATTTAGTGCCCTAGTATCTTTGTTTATGTTTTTCAGATCTCATCCTGCTTTCTTTGAAGAGTCAAAAGTGCCACTAAACAGTTTTTGACACAGAAAAAAAAAGATAATTTCTCAATCAATTTGTCTGACACCCACCAGTAACAGCAGTTTTGGGAAATAAAAATATTTATACAGAAACAGTCAATCTTTATGCTGATAGTCTTGTTTGCTTCTAAAGGTCATATAAAGATAAAAATTCCTCACAGGAGTTTTAAATGACTGCGTCTTTCTTCTGTGTTCTCCTGGAGATGCTGGGATGTATGCAAAGATAGATAGATAGAACACTGCAGGGAAGAAGTAAAGCAGTGCTATATTACATATCACAGGTGAAACAATACTATCAAACATTAGGGGACCATTAAACCTGTTTTACTTTATTTGCAATGCAACAGCATCAACAGGAAAGCCCAGAGTGAGCAACCATGAGCTGCACAGTGAAGATAATGTAAAGGATGCATCATCTGAAAACAACATCTTGTCCTTGGCCTCTGAGGTGAAAAGCCAACAAAAAGAAGAAGAAAAGGGTAGGTTACACACCTGTTTTAGGCTTCTTATAGTATTTGTATTTGATCAAACCCAGCATTTATGTTTTTCTTCATTGCTGGAAAAAGATAATGCAATTTAATGATGAATATAACACTCACCGTTGACAGGAAAGCAGCAACAAACATGCCTGCCTTTTTTTTTATTAGAAATTTAAATAAACATAAAGATTTGAAAATGTAGCTTTTTCTGGTTACTGAAAATGGTATCCCTACTGGTCCCACTGCAACCTAACTTGAGTGCTCTCTTTTGATTGGTTGCCTTCTTTTCACCTTGCCTGTTGTAGCACACACACCTGTTAGCCCACCTGCTTCCTCAGTCTCCACAGACATCAGAGACACCCACACTGAAAGAGTTTCATCTAGCAAAGGTAAGTAGAGGGCATGCAACATGTAATCTAGTAAAGTAACAGTTCTTACACTTAGTCATTTTTTATTTTTTTTTACTAATAAGGACAAATGTGCCTCCCCTCAGTGCCTCCTGTGGAGTTTTTGAACCCACCAGATCAGGTGGAGGTTCGATTAGGAGAGCAGGCCCGGCTACACTGTGAGTTCAGGAGCAGCTCTGTCCCCGTGGCCTGCTGCTGGATTTTCAACAAAGACAAGGTAACACTAACAAAGTCCCTTCTTGTTTTAAGCTGTTTGTCCTAACTTTGGAATGTGGTGCCAGTAAAAGTCTTGGTTTCTGTTTCCTCCTTTTGTTTTCTCTTCAGGTGGTGGTAGGAGGGCTGAAGCAGTCTGTGATGAGCAGTGAGACACAGAGCAGTATGGAGGTCTTCAAGGTCTGCCCTGAAGACACAGGCTCATACACCGTCATAGTACGGAACAGAGAAGGCTCTGCCCAGCATACAGTTTCTCTTAGTGTCATAGGTGAGCAAAACCTTTAATTTACATTATTTTAAGTTTTAAAATTAGACTTGAGTCAATGCAACACATGTATTTCATTCATCTTTCAATTCATCCTCAGATATCAGCTCTTTCTGCTGCAGAGATGTTGATTGATTTAACACAAAGTAACAGATAGAACATGAACTATAATAAAAACCCAGGCAGCGTGTATGAACATTAGCAGCTCCAGGAATGTGTTCTTAAACGATGCAAACAAGCTAACTTTGAATATTTTGTCCGTGAATTTCTCCTTAGATCGGCCCGAACCCCCTGCATCCCAACCTGTTGTTTCCCAGCTCTCCACTCAATCCCTGGTCCTGTCCTGGACGGGTCCCAGTTACGACGGCGGCACGGCCGTGTTGGGCTACATCGTGGAGGTCAGACAAGAGGAGGGTCTGACTGAGCCTGGGAGCTGGACTGAAGTAACAAGCCATTGTAAAAACACATCCTACCACGTCCGCTCGGGCCTGGAGCCTTTTGGGCAGTACCGCTTTCGTGTCAGGGCGTACAACTCAGCAGGGGTTGGCGAGCCAAGCCAGGAGTCTGAGTGTATAAAAATGGAAACTGCAAGTAAGTGGTATGAGAAAATAATGTGAGAGTTCTCTGCTTGCTGTCAAGAGGGATCTGCTTATTTGTCGTCTTTTTATGTTTGAAGAGCAAAAAAAGCAAGAGCCTGAGTCGTTCATCACCGTGACGATTGATACCAAACACAAGGTCAAGGATCACTACAATGTGCACGAGAAGCTGGGAGTGTAAGCATGGAATCTTCATATTTAAAACCAACGCTGCTTTGATAGATGAGAATGGTTGCTCAATCAAAGTCAATCAAACTGAAATGCCTCTTGTTTGTTTTGGATGAAACCTTTTTTTTTAGTGGGAAGTTCGGCCAGGTGTTCCGGTTGTCCCACAAAGAGACGAGTCAGGAGTGCGCAGGGAAGTTCTACCGAGCCCGGAGGTCGAAGGAGAGGGATGCAGCTCGCAAAGAGATCGAACTAATGAACTTTCTTCATCACCCGAAACTGGTCCAGTGTCTGGCTGCCTATGAGACATGCTCGGAGATGGTCATGGTCATGGAGTAGTAAGTAAAAGTTGTAAATGGATAATGGAATTATTCTGTGTGAGTAATATGAGAAGAATTATAGACACAAGAGGGTGTCAAGTGTGTCTTTGAACAGTGATAGAAGATTGTCAGGGATCTATTGTAATTGTATCTAAAAGACAAAATTTACCAGGTGAAACAGTTGAAAAATGCAATGGAGGCAAACCATAAGGGAAGACATATAAACAAACATATTGCTGTAGCTTTCCGATATTTCCAGCTGAAAACTCCTCAGGTACAGTTATATAGCCATTTGATGCATGGACTTGAATGTTGTGATTTCCCTGCCCAGTATTGCAGGTGGGGAGCTCTTTGAACGTATCGTGGATGAAGCCTTTGAGCACACAGAGCCCACCAGTGCCCGCTACATGCAGCAGATCCTGGAGGGCATGCAGTACGTTCACAAGCAGAACATCGTCCATCTGGACCTCAAACCGGAGAACATCGTCTGCGTGGACACAACTGGCACACAGATCAAGATCATTGACTTTGGCTTAGCTAGTAAACTGGGTGAGTGTGCAAGATTGGCGGAAACAGTCTCGAAATGATCTCAGTGGGATCTCTCAGTGGGACTTATATTTAACTTTTACAGTTACTCACCAGGGAGGGTGCAAAAGTAGCCCTGTGTGCATTCAACTGAATGACATATCCTGTGTGTTTTCTTGTTGAAGTCACAATTCAGGGAAATCCAAGAGTCCTTATAGGGTAGCAGTCAGCGCTGTGCTGCTTGTGCATCCGCCATAGACAATAAAATGCCTCCTGTTGGGGTTCACATTAACAATTCTTTGTTAATTCTTTCTCTGCTTTGAATAATAGCCGACAACATGATAAGAGTGTTATTTCTACATTTCCTCGATGTCAACCCATTACATAACAAATGCTTAACTTCCTTAATTCAATAAATGTACGCAGCGAAGCCTGTTAGGCCAACTCAGGCAGAACATTTAGTGACACTCCAGACGCAGCGGCTCCAACCTGGGTGCATCTATTTACAGATGGCTAGAGCTGTCTGTAAATAGGCTAATATAAACAGTCACAAAAACAAGATTCAGGGATACATTTACATTCTTCCACTCTTGTCTCTTTCCTAGAGGAGGGTAACCCTCTGAGGGTGATGCATGGCACGCCGGAGTTTGTGGCCCCTGAGGTGATCAACTATGAGCCTGTGGGCCTGGAGAGCGACATGTGGAGCATTGGAGTCATCTGCTTCATTTTGTAAGTCCAACAAAGGATTCAGTGGTTAAACAATTGCTGGAGTAGCAAATTAAAAAATTCAAATAGAACCATGGTTTTCTGGCAGAAAAAGATGCATTAAATCCTGTTACTAGGGCTTCTTCACCCCCCCCCCCCCGTACCTGCCCCCATAAAATGAATATGTTAGTTTGTTGGGTTCTGTAAAATCTAAAATCCAAAGTGGTTGTGTAAAAATAAAGTTTTGGCGCCATCTCCTGGTAGTATTGCATTTCTACCACCCCTAAACATAACCAGTATTACAATGATTTTAATGTGCATACTTTCCATGTAACTTAACTTAGTCATACTAGGTTATTTCTGTTGTTATTGGTTACAGACACTAAGGTTGTGGGTATGCTTCTTATGCAAAAACGTAATGTCTTGTGTTCCAGGCTCAGTGGAGAGTCACCCTTCCAGGGAAACAGCGATGCTGAGACTTTAGCTCATGTGACCGCTGCCTGCTATGAGTTTGACCAGGAGAGTTTCGAAGACATCTCTGATCAAGCTAAAGACTTCATCAGCTCCCTGCTGAAAAAGGACAAGAGGTTGTTCTGGTTTTGTTTCTATCCATTTTATTTAAATCTTCCAGAAGCATCTCAAACCAGTTGACTATATGATACACTCTGTGCTCAAAAAACTGCTTGAATTCAATTAGCCAGTCTCTGGTTGTACAGCTAAAACTCCACTGATAGAAGCTATTTCTTCGATATGACAATTAAAGCCATTCATGGATCATTTGTATCATATCAAACTATTAAAAAAGACTCTGAAAATGAGTCAAGGAGAGTTTAATTTCGAGCAGATAATCCACAGCTTCATCACAGTGAGCTCTGCAGACTGCTGGCATAAATTGACAGCTGTTGCTTCTCCCTTTCTATCCATGCGCACTCTAGGTGCAGGTTGTCATCTACCGAAGCCCTCGCCCACCCTTGGATGGTCTCATTTACCCCTCTGACCCGCACACCAACCAAATCCCTCAAAAAGGGGAAGATGAAACGCTTCCTGGCCAGACGCAAATGGAAGGTAACATGTCTGAAAAATTATCACACAGTTGTTGTCAGCTCAGCATTGAACAGATATACAGTCTGCTTATCAGTGCTCAACTATGAATACATTTCAGGCTATTATCCTATATAGACCTGAAGCTGGGTTATAAGTGTAGTTTTTCATCCAGTGCCATTTGTCCTTTAAACTTCAAGAAAACTGGAAAGGCTGTTTTGGCCCTACAGCGCATGGCTAACCTCTCCAACAGGCCAGACTCCCCTGGCAGCTCTTCAGAGGGTAAGACCGATAAAAAGACACACACGCACACACACTCACACATATCCATGCATACACAAAGTCCTCTAAAGCCCTACAGCTATGTCCATATGGCAAATGACTCACACTTTGAGATTGTCATTTCAAGTTTAACGTTTTGTGATCAGAAAAGCCTCGTTTCAGTTGTATTCGTCACAATCATCTCCTCTCATCCAGAGCCAGGCTGGAGCCAAGAGGCAGAGGAGGCCATCCAGTCGCTGGACAAGCAGCTTCAGAGTGAACCTCGCTTCCAGCAGGCCCTGAAGGACATCGCCCTTCCCAAAGGAGCGACTGCTCATCTAACATGCATTCTCAATGGTAGGGTGACATTGACTGTGATGCACTTCATTATATAATGCCCAAGCACAAGTGCCTCGAGCAAAAAACAACACTGTCCGAAGTGCTCATAATGCTTTAGACCTATTGGCTTAACTTAAAGCTGTCATGAGTCATGTTTGAATATACACTATGGGTCACATATATAATAGGTTTTAAAAAAAGGTTTATTATTATTCAGCACTGCAGTTAATAATAATTCTGTGGAGCAATTTATTATCTATTACAAACATTGTTTTGTTGGGATGCAAATGGCCTAGTGGTTAGGCCCCATATAGTCCTCCAAACAGATTGCCGGGTACAAGTCCGATCTGCAGCTCCTTTTACAGCATGTCACTCGTTTCGATTTCCTACTCTATCCTCTGTCCTATTGAATAAAGGCAAAATGCCGACAAATTAACCTTGTCTGTTCAGCTAGCTTGGATCTGTCCAAAGCTAATTAAATCTAAATCTATTGGCATTTTCCCATTTATTATATGTCCTTTGTGTAAGCTGTATGAAACCAAAGTGTGTAATGTTGTGTGATAATGGTGGCTAGGAGTTAGGCTATTTAAATGTGAGCACAAACATCACATTTTTGCCTAAAAACCCAGGAATTAACTTGTCAAATACAGAAACAGCTAAGCTAGCTGCTTTACTGCTTCAAAGTCTTTGCGGGAAGCTAAGCTCGCTGACTGCTGGCTGAAGCTTGTTGACTGTACAGATTGTGCTAAAGTGAATGCCATCTTCTTGTCTTAGCCATGGGGAGAAACCATAATTAAACATGGAAACATTATTTGAAACTTAACACACAGAATTTATCGAAAACATCTTCGATAAAGGACAACTGTTGCTTTTCCATTCAAGCTAGTTAAACCTGCTCGTAGCTAAGTAGCAAAGTAGTTTGAATCAAACTACTTTCATTAGCAACTTTGCTATTTTGTTATGTTTTCCCTCAGATTGTTTGAGGGTAAAACATAATAACAAGTTAAATTAACCTACAATATACTTTGTAATATGAATTCTCATGATTGCGCCACCTATACTGTCAATCTATAGGAAAACACAGTCATTATATAGAAATGTCAAACAGCTAGCTTGTCTTGATGCTTGAAAATATCTTGGAAGTCAGTATGAAGGATTGCTATGTAATGTTTTTGTTATAGTGAAGTCCTGTTGTCTCTATTCTAGGATACCCACAGCCAGAGGTGAAGTGGCTTCAGAACGAGAAGCCGGTGCCTGAATCCAGCAGAGTGACCATGGAGCAACATGAAGGGCTCTGTTCTCTGGTTTTGGCTGATCTGGAGCCTTCAGACTCTGGGGTTTATGTGTGCAGGGCCAGCAACAAGCTGGGGGAAGCAATGTGCTCTGCCAAGCTGAAAGTTGAAGAAACAATTAGTATTCCCTTCATTTAAGGAGAAGTAGACTTGCTTCATAGAGCCTGGACTTTTATGGTGTCACAGAGGCACAGTTCATTCACTGCCACACAAAAGGCAAACAGGGTGTGTTGTGTTCATTCACCATTAAGAGGACAATAAGATTTGGACACGCATACCCAGAGCCCTTAGTTTCACAACTCACCTTAACTAGCACTTAATCTGTATTCTTTTCAATGTGCTGAACACGTTGCCCAAGGTTTTATACTACTTGTATTAAAGTTATGTTAAATGCTGCCGTAGCTAAGTGCAGCCAAATTCACAACACCGGTGTTCGTGTAAGGTCAAATGTACGTTTTGCACATTTTAGATACATGGTAATGTTTTGATGATATTGCAATTAAAGGCTAAATACTTTCTTAAAAGGCTATGTTTTGATAATTATTGCAAGGTATATATCAAAACTAAGCATAAGGTTTTGTAGATTATCCATGAAAGAATTCAAAGGCTGTTTACACCTTAAAATTATTGGCAAAAATAGATCACAAATGGGTTAAAATGTCAATTTTTTTTTTAATCAATTAGTTTCCAGATGATATTCAAAATAATTCAGAATTTTGGATTTTCACCAACTGTATGACCACATTACACTTCAGTGACTTTATTGAACAATAATTTAAGGTATAGCTAAGCAATAAAGCAGTACGGTAATTGTAATGTGAACATGGTTAGTGGAGACAAAGTTATTTTAGTTTAGTTTTCAGAGGCATGCATTTTTTAAATTGTTCAGCTGAGCTCATTCAGAAATTATTAAAAAATTTGACAACTAGTTCTGGGAAAACCATTAAAATAAACAGAACTTTCTGTTAAATTTCAATTGTAGAAAGGTAAGCATTTTTATATTATCAGATAAACAAGTCCAAGACATGAAATCGTATGTGTCCATTTTTTTCTTTATTAGTCAGTTTACTTATTCAAATTGTAAGCGATCGCTGATATTTCTACAAATACCAAACCTTGTTTGGGAAATTATAATTCACAACAATATCTATTTAGATGCATGCTAATAAAAAAACAATCTTGACCTTCAATTCTCGGTACAATATGACACTTTATGATCCCAAACATGAATTTCAGCTTGTAAATGCCCAAATTATTTTGTTAGGGATAGTTCACCTTTTTCTCATCCACACATCTTTCAATACATCATCTTTAAATAAAGCTAGAGTTTAAAAACTTGATGAAAGTCAATCAGGCACTGAGTCACGGGCAAAGAAGTGAGAGAGCTTGTTGAGCATGCTGCTGGGGCATAGAAACCAATCCCACTTCTTTACAAGGCGGCATTTTTCTCCTCGTGTGTATCGCTGTTATGTGCTTCCCTGGACCTGACACATGTTTTACTCTGTGTGCCTCAGTTACAGCTGACATGATGTGTTTACACACACACGCACACGTTCCTACTGTCCCTCCTGTCTCTGTTGGATTCTCTTCTGAAGAAGATTCCAAGCTTTCAGTACCTTTGACACAAAAGACAATGTCAGAGTGGACACAAAAAGTACAATCTGTAAACTAAATACAGATGACATGATGGGTGTCTGACCTGTTTCTGAGTGACCTCTGGCTCCCACAGAGTGCTGAGCACAACATTGGCGTGCTCTACTTGCTTAGCATTGGACCACTGACTCTGGAGCCGGCGCAGGGCGTCATCTGTGTTAACACCATCTCGCTCGGTTATCCTCGACACAGCCTGAGAGGGAGGGGAACAACGTAAGTGTTTATTTATTCAAGCTAAAGATCACATAAAGGAAGTGGACATAACCACCTTCACCAACCGAGATGTGAACTCACTTCTTCAAGTGTTGAGGTTGTTATTTTAGCTATGGACATCTTGTTTTCTTTCAAACCAGAAGTGACGATATTTGGAAAAGAGGGTGGATACCCAATGCTACATCTCTTTGTGGCTGACAGTGCTATTGACAAGTCAAACATAGGTAGCCATACCCTAAAAGCAGTGGTTCTCAACCCCCATTATTTGAACCTTAAAAAGCTGAGCCGACCACTCCTACCCCAGGACCCACATGAATTCCAAGTAACCTTTTATTTTTGAGTAAAGCGTAATGTATTTTTAACAAAGGGCAGGGTGACCGTGAGCCTAGGTTGGGAACCAATGCTCTCAAGCAGTCTCTGATTAACGGACAATTTTACTCTTCATGAAAACACAATCAACAAAACTAAGATGATGTTGTGTCTAAAAAGATTTAATGAAAAATGTTTCCTGAGCTAATAAGTCCAAGAAACTTTGCAACCACTGAGATTACCCCCTGCTGGCCAATAGAAAGAATACAGGGTGAAGTAACTTCTGCATTTGCTTATGTACAGTCAATTGTAATAACCAGTGGATGTAGAACCCCGCCCCCCCCAGTGGTTACAGCAATGCATGCTAACATCCACACACCAATCCTTTCCATCATTTACTTCTAAAGGGACTCTATATAATTTGGTGCTATATCCTTTAACTACATTTTTTCAAGAATTAACACTGATACTGCCATCTCCCTTTTGCCACTCACAAAGCCTGATAATGTACCAGGTGTACAGTAAAACCTCTTGACACTCTTTAAAGGATATGTGAGGACATTACACTGCTTCATTATCCTAACAGTCACTCAAGCTTGCGTGACTCCCTGTTTGTCAAATTAAGGACTGCAGGTACAGACCTCCTCCTCAGGGATGACTGTGACCCAGATCTCGTGGACCATGTCTGTCCAACCGGCTTCCAGTAAAACTGCTGCGTCCACCACACAAACCTGTTTACCTAAAAAGAACACAGAATTGTATTATATACAATCAAAGTGTTTCTTTATCGTGTGTGTATTTGGAGATGAACAAATGTCCATATGATACCTTCCTCTCTTGCTTTTCTGATTCTCTCTTTCACCAGGAGTGCGATCTCAGGCCATACAATGTTTGTTAGGGCTTTTAACCGCTCCTGAATGAAAAACATTCTTTGGTGTATTGTCAACGCACAGAGGGGTGTGATCTGTGACATGTCATGAACAACCATAAAGTGCTGAAAGATTTGAACTTGTCACATTACCTGGTTTCCAAAAACCTTTCTTCCTAATGCACGTCTGTTGATGGTTTTATCGTCATTCAGTAGATCTAAAAAGTGACAAAAACAACATGGAAATCATGCAAGTGGGTGCTGGGCACCATATGCTTTAATGGTAAAATGTTAAACTCCGGATTAAGATATAGCAGGGTTATGTGTTACTCTTAAAATGTGTCTTCAATGAATGGAACTCAACTTTAAATGTCTAAAAAAATAGTGTGCAAGTTTTTCTAACATTTGTTGCCACTGGTTTAAATGCACATTTCAATAAAGTTAAAGGGTAGAAAATGGACAAATCCTGTACAGGAAAATAAATAACCACAAAAGTGATAAGATGGATTGGTTTTAAGAGGAATGGGTAACACTCATGGCCTTTTAAATGTGTTATTTTGACCTCTCACTCGCTCCATTAGTCTGTCACTGCGCCAAAAGCCAGCAGACATCCCGTCAACTATCATCAAATCAAATTAGAGACCTCATGCTCCTGACCTTTAAATCTCTTAAATGTTTAAATACTTCAAGATGAAAGGTTATTATCCTCCATCTTATCTAAGAAGTGCAATTTTATGTGCCCCAAAAAAAAATAGGCTACGTATGGATGACCCTTCTCTACCCCCATCCTACCATTTCCAATCAAAACGTGACCTCAATGCAAAGTGTTTCCTCACCTGACCCAAATTCTTCGAGCACTCTGTGATAAGCTGCAGTGCCAGGCTGGTACACCTCATGGCCCAGCTTGTCGCAGTCTATCCGGACGGCACCCAGTGTTTCCAGCCGCTTGGCGATGGAGCTCTTCCCACTGCCGCTGCCCCCGGTCAGGCCGATCACATATGGAAGGGGAGGGAGATGGGATTTGTCCTAGTGCAGAAACGCAGGAGATAAAAATGCGTGAAATAACAAGCCAAACATCACAGCCTCATCATGGGTTAAGGGCCGTGTGCGATAAAAATGTGCTTTAATTTGCCGTTTCAGGTGACACAAACAGCTTCATAAACCAGTCAGACTTGCTTGAATATTACCCCCCACCCCTTGCTGCAGGAGAGCTCTCTGAAAGTAAAACGGTTCATATCTGCAGGAACGTGCAAAGTGCGAACTTAGTGTTCTCAAGTCAGGTCCATTTTCCAGCCGCACTCCCATCAAACCGAATTCCCCCCTGGGATTAATAAAAGTATTTCTGATTCTGATTCTGAAACACATTCATACACCTATTTCCACACAGAAGGTGGTGTGTAGCTGTAACAGAGGAACTGTACTTTGACACTTGCTGGAAGGACAAGCTGTTTTTCCGGAATAAGACGGCTTCTACTAGAACAGTTAGACATTAAAGTCTGACCTTTGGAATCTAATGCTCAGCTGCCATTTGTTCTTTGGAACACTCTTTCTCCTTTATTCAAATGGTGCTGCAGAAATAAATGTTTTGCTTGTTATTTGACAATAACTTTTTGTGACTTGAGGCTGTGCGGTACCCTTGTCAACATTAGACAAAGAATTCCATTTAACAGGAATGAATTAAGAGCAAATACAAGTGTACCTGACAGTAGGCAGTAGTTCAGTCTGTAGGGACTTGGGTTGGGAACCGGAGGGTCTCTGACATCTCTCCATTAGTGCATGTCCATAGGATCTTGTTTGTGCATGTGTATATTTCAGCCTATGTGCGTGTTGCATGATAAACAGAGTGTAAAAACAGAATTTCCCCTTGTGGGGATCAATAAAGTAAATCTTAATCTTAACCTGATCTTTCTTTTTAGGATTACACCTTATTCAAGCAGTGTGATTATAATATTCTCTGTGCAGCTTAAGATCAGCAATGATAACCCCCCTTAAAAGGCATCAGACCCTTTTTTAATAAGCCCCCCCCGATAGAAAAAGAAAGACACATGATAACAGCTGCATTGGAATCCCTTATCAAAATGTTCAATCAGTTTAAACTAGGCCTTACTTGAGGCGGTGCGAGAAGGGTTCCCAGAAGACGAGAGCGTAGACTAGAGGAGCTGATCTTCTCCTCCTCTGTCTCAGTGTGGTGGGCATCTTTAAGCAGCTGGATCTCATGGAGTACGAGAGCTGGAAGGCCCTGATTTAGGAGGCAGACAAAACACACAAATTAAAAGAAAAAAGCCAAAGTCAGGCCAGGCTAGGGTTCCCAATTGCTAGAAAAGATTATAGATTAAAATGAGCAACAGAAATCAGTTTCCTCTCATTTAGCAAGTAAGTAATGGGAAAAACTGTAATCCTTCAGAATAAAACGTGGTTTCAGTATTAGCTATTAAAGCTCATTAGAGATTGAGATTGTAATCAAATAGGATTATCCTCTGACATAGGTGCCGAAAACTTACAGTAAGACGACATGTATTCAAACTGAACCAGGGCTATAAGAAAGCATACTAGTGTTTAACGTAAATAAATAATTCTGCAAAAAATAAATTAAAAAAAGACCCATAAACTGATATACAGGAGTGCACTTAACTTTGTCCCCTGTCCTGTGTTTAATGTGTTTCATGAATTAGGAAGAGGAAAAAAGTAATACAGATTGTTATCCAGATTTACATTTTCTATGCGTTTCTTGTTGACAGCCTCGCCTCCCTTTCTAGTCTCCTCGCTAACCACAATGCACTGCAGCAACGGGTCGACCACGGAGACTCCGTAGGGGTCGTCAAGGCCACAATCTCCACCTCCAGAGAGGGTCTGATGTCCTGCAGGAACTCCCGCAGTTTCTCTACCCGCAGAGCGTAGGGCTGGACCAGCTCTTTTAGAACTTTTCCTAACGCCAGAGAGAAAGGTCGTCAAGAGAGATCGAAACGGAAGGTGAGACGATTGACCTTTAGAGAAGTGACATGCTAAACACCGCTAAATGCAAATACAAACATACTTTTCAGCATAGCTTGGTCACACACACCAATAAGGAACCGTTTGTTGGCTAGCAGGCATGAGATGTTAAGTAGTGTCTTGTGGGCCCCATGGAGCCGGTCAAATGTCCCCCCTACCACCACGTCGCTGTAGGTCTCCAAGGGTTCTGCCTTCTCCTTCACTCCTTCCTCTTCATCCTGCAGACTCACTGGCTGTTGGTGAAGCAGCACTGAGCGCAGGCTGGGGCTGCAGACATAGCATCGGCCTGTATACCTCTGCAGACACTGCGTAACCTGATGTGACTGACCCGGATCCTGCAGCGCAAAGTCAGTTAGCACCACCTCTGGCGAGTGCGACAGAGACTGCGGCGTGGGGAACGGGGAGGTCTGTATCGTGGTCCCACCGCAGGCAGTCGACTGGCTGCGGACATTGGTCAGCAAAACACGGACATCCAGGTGGCCGCAAACATCAGCTGCATTGCTGTAAAGGCGCGAGATAAGCGTAGACAGGTCCACTACCGGTGGAATGAAAACTGGACGGGGCTGGCTCCCACTTCCCAGGTTCAGCCCGGGTTGGAGGTGGACATACAGAGTGCGCTCCACGCGCTCGGCAGCTGAGCTGAGGACTGGCGCGATGCGTAAGGGGAGGATGTGGAGAGGAGATGTCAGCACAAGGATGCCCGTGCTGAACATGGACATGTTACTGGCAGATATCACAGGGAATCACGGTCGTCACAGGAATCTGTGGGGTTTGTGTTTGGGGATTGGGGATGGGTAAACAGGGGAAGGGGAAAAACACATAAAGTCAAAAATTGCAGCAGAAATGTGATGTTAAAATATTTAGCTCTCAATTATATTTCGGGCCAAATTACAATGCTAACCACACACAAGCCGTTGTGGGAATGTATGTTTTGCAACACTTAAAAATAAAGGGAGATTCTTAATGCATTGCATCCAACAATCAGAAAACTACATCAGCTCAAAGAATAGAATAGAATTACTTTATTGATCCCAAACTGGGAAATTGTGGCGTTACAGCAGCAGGTTATCCAAACACACAATATTAGCAAAAGACACAATATTAGCAAAAAAGACTGGGAGGCTATCAAATTGATTAACATATAAGGTCTCAACAGTTACAAACTAGGAATGAGTAATATTAGGAAATTAGTTGTATTGATAGTAAGTCTTTTGCAAACTGTTAAATTTTGATTTGTGGTATTCGGCAGAGAGCTTTGCAATCTACAGGAAAGAATGAAAAGAAATACCCATACAAGTATCATAGGTTTTAAAAAGTAAACGTGTCTGCAGATCAATCCAAAGAAAGGCCTTTTATGTGAACAGGAGGATACTTTCAAAATATATACATATAATAATAATACTAACAATAATGTTAACTAGCCTGGATATATTAAATACTTGCTTACCAGTGAATTAGGTTTGTGGTTTGAGGAGCTTGGCTTTATGGATATTTGGAGAAATCTACATCCAAGGAATAGGGATTATACATTTTATTCCCACCCTCACTCCACATACTCTAGGATTGATTATTTCTTTATTGCCAGGAGTGAATTTTATAGAGCATTAGAATGCAAAATCCATGATATAACCCTGTCGGACCATGCACCAGTGTCTATGGTTTGGGAAGGCGCCCACGTGTCCGATATAAAGTTTTACAGCTGTCCAAACTACAAGGAGGATGGGAACTTCCTCATCTCAGGCACTATTGGTTGGTCTGCCAAGTAAGAGCTCTGACCGTCTGGATTTCAGACAGCGTGGATACAAAGTGATAATCTTAATATTGAGAAGTCCACATGTATTCAAATACCATTGGCAAACATTCCATTCTCTGAAAGTAAAACGATGGTAGAATTTCTGGGGAGACGGTCAAAAACAACTCTTTTTGCGTGGAGGGAGGTCCAACGAACTTTCAGTCTTCCTGGGGAGATATCAACATTATCAAGTATTGCTTATCTAAAAAATGTTGTTCCCTTAAAACTGGATGTTGGATATAAAACATGGAGGAACCGTAACCTCTGCTTTGTTCATCAGCGTATGGGAGGCCCAGAAGTCAAAACACTTCAACAGTTATGTAACGATTTTAACCTACCAAGATCGGACTTCTTCAGATATCTACAGATAAGAAGTTTTCTGCTTAAACACGCTAACTGGACCAACCTGCAGAAAAGGTGGCTCCCTAATTGAACAATACCTGATCAACATTCAAGAAACAAAAGAGACCTGTTTCCAGGCTATGTAAAGAATGATCAGATATGAAACAGGAAAACAACTTTCACGTAAAAAAAAAATGGGAGGGGGAGTTGAAATTGGAAATTAGTGGAGAGGCATGGGTCAACATTTCCTCAGAAATTCATGAAGTCATTAATGCAAACATATGGAGAGAATTCCAGTGGAAAATAGTGAACAGATTTTTCAGAACACCCTACATCCTTTCAAAAATAGACCCCAGTCAATCAAGTTAATGTTGGAGCAATGTGACAGTTTTGCACTAGTTGACAGCTGGCTCTGTAAATAATTTATCAACAGTCAAAGTCGTAGTGAGCTAGATTTGTAGTACTACCATCACATTGCCTGTGCAAAAATGAAATTTGAAAAAAACAAAAAAAACAACCCTTGCAAAGAGATTGTAACGAAACAAGATAATAATCCCGAAGAAACGTTGACTGTTAGCATATATTTAAACCTAAAATAAAGGAATAGTCCGTGTCTTGTTTTACACAACATTTGCTGCGCCCCATATAATTACAGAGCAAATGTTGACAAACAGGCAGAGAGGCAAACCTTCAGTGTTTAAGCTTGAGTTTTACCTGTGTGGAGCAAATCAAAGACGACGTAAAGAACGGATGAATCGTGACGGATAAAAGTAAACTGTCTACATATCACTTGGGCATATGGTTTCCCTAATAATCTTCAACGTTTGAGGCTCTTCTGCAAGTTCAATCTGGTCCAAAGCACCCACTGGTGGCGGTGGGAAGTCACATACACATGAAATGGGTTGGATAATGACGTCACATTACACACGCACACGCTCCGATTGGTTGATAGAAAAACAGGTTGACGTCTGGGATACGTAGTCTTAAAAAGGGATAAAGCAGATATGAATACATTGTGTAGTGCTCTGTTTCACAACAATACGGGTGTTTGGAATAAGAGGAAAAAGGGAGATTGAACACAATTTTGGGCACAATAAAACTAATCAATTGGATTGATAAATAACTAAGAGTTTGGTCATATATGCATTTTTTAAGGCTCCAAACTAAATTCTCTTCCAAGATAGTGGAGCTGTGTAAAAAAAAACTTTACAAAGAGACTAAAAGACCTAAATACGATGAAAAATCCCTTTTCAAAGCAAAGACGTTTTAGGAAACCTCAAATGTGTCTTTTTGGATTCTGTCTGAGGTAACACGCAAAACAATTTTCATGTAACACAATGTCCTTTCGGAAATCTTTGTTGGACTTCGTTTTCATAGTATGTAGGAATTATTCAGGTACGTTGAATAGAAATATATGAAATGATTTCATGTTTGCCCACCTAAATAAACTCAATATGGTACAATGCAGAATTAAGGCAAGTTTCTAATCAGTAATAACCAGAACATGAATTAAATTCAAAAAAAAGTTTTTTTGCCCCCAAGTCCTAAGAGTTTTAATGAATACATTTATTGAAAATGGAGAAGTACAAAGTCAGACTCAAACAATCACTGTAGCAGAACATTTTTAATTTTCAATTTATACTTTGAGGCCAACAACTTGTTTTTACAAAAATAAAAAATAAAAGAATTAAGAGTTATCCCAGAACTGTAGAAAGAATTGCATGACGAGGCCCTGGGGTAAGCTGGGCAGAGGCATTGCATAATTAGCCAAAAAACCGACATCAACACAAGTCAAAACAACAAATTCAAGTAAAAAGTAATAGAATCACAAAGAAGTCACATTAAAGCCTGGTGGCATTTCTTGGAAAGTAAGACTTTTGCTGGGTTTGACATTTTAACAGAGGAGTCAAACTGAATCCCTCTCACAATTCTGCAGTCCTCGGTTAGACTTTGAGAACTATGTTAACAGAAAAAAAAGAAAGGCTTATGTTGAAATGTGTAAATAATTTAATTATAACTGTGGAATTCTGGATGGGGAGCCTGAATCAGGCATGACATCTTCAGTGGATGTACGCTCATGAACACAGACAGACACATGTTCAGTTTAACTCCCCTGCTCCACATAAAGCCTGTTCAGATAAATTAGTTGACTTTCTTCTCGCTGGTGCTATCGCTGGCAGCTGTGTCATAATGGCACTTCTCCACACATCGCCTGGGAAACCATCCTCTTATACGCTCACCCCCTGAAAAGCAAAACAAAAAGAAAGAATGATATTACACTTTTAAAAAAAAAAAGAAGTGAATTCAAATAATTTCAAAGAAAAGCAAAAACCTGTTATTTCACCTATTATCTGCTCCTCGCTTAAAGCTTTGTCTCCATACATCCACCATCTAAAGAGGGGGGGGGAAGAAAAAAGTATATTGGACAAACTTCCGGAAGAACATATATGATTGTTGTTTCTATGCAACCTTAATTCACTCACTTTGTTCCCCGGGTGGCTAGGATGGTGTCACCCTTTTTCAGGGGGATCCTTGGCTCCTCGGTGCATGGGGTTCTGAAAAAGGTTTGGAGACCTTTGCTCAGAGGGCAGCAGGCTCCATTATAATCCTCCACCGCCCGGTACTGGACCTGCTGGCCGAGGCAATCAAAGGTATCTTGATTATTCTAGTGATCTGACGATGGCTTAAACTCAGACAAGACACACGTGTGCATTAATGGTAGTCTTCATCCTTAATCTGAACACATTTAAAGTTCTGACTTTTCAGACAGTCGGCATCAAGTGACATTAATATACATGAAGCTGCAATGACAAATGATTTGACACTTGATTTAATTTCTTATCTTCCACAAAATGGCACAACTGATGATTGGATGTCACAACAGAAATACTTACACTTCTTACTCTTTTATCAGCTTTCTGCTTCAGTTGCTCAATCTGTTCAAAGAGGAACAAGACAATTAAAGTCATTATTCAAAGAAGATTTCCAAAAGCATACACTGCTGCTTTATTTTAACTCTACAAAGTCATCATATGAAATGTAAAGACATTTCACAGTTGCCAAGCATGAAGTGTTGATCTAAAACAGCACTAAGTGCACATTACTCAACAAACAAACTCAACCTACAGTTAAGGTGTGTTGGTGACACTTGGGATGGACTGGCCATTCGATGCCATCACCCTTGGGCGCCCCTGACCACGTGAAAACTTGCTTGAAGTTCTGCCAGCGGCTGCCGAGGTCGTACGGGAAGATGAACTCCTCCCCTGTTTGGTAGTGCTGTATTCTGTCTTTGGCCTAGGGGAACAGACATGGAGAAGTGTGTGTATGTGTGTCAATGGGATCAGGTGGGTGTGGTGGTGGTGTCAAGTTTCTGTAATCATCAAGCTCTATTGTCCTGGCAGGTGCTCTAAAAGTGACCATATTAACAAAACAAAACAAAAAAAACTTTGATAATGCAGTGATAAAATGTTATTTAATATATTTCCTGCAATACCACCCAGAAAAAAAAACAATTTACTCTGAAACAAATAGACATCCTGACCTTTTCCTCAATCCAGGACTCGATCGAGGTCTTATTTCGAAGGATGACTTTCATCTAGAAAGGACAAATTATTCAACTATTAGTCAACTTACATTTTCCTTTATAAGGGGCAATATTAGAGCATCAGAGACTACATGAATGTGTAATAAGCACTTTGTTATAAAAGCTGATATTTCTTACTTCATGTGAAATTCTTCCTTGTATTACAGTCATTATTTAGTTTTTATTTTGCTTGAGTTCCTGTTTCACTTTAAGTCTTTACACAACTTCTGTCTGATTTTTGCACGATGATCAGGATGAAAATGGTGAAGCTTGCATGTTTAGAACCGTCTGATACACCTGAGGTAAACATTTGCTCATGAGGCTTGAGGTAATTTGAATGGCAGTTAGGCCTAGTTCACATGTAGGTGTGTAATTTTTGAAAACAAAAGGTTTTTCTTGTGCGTTGTGGCCTTTCGTACACATGTAGACTGCGTTTTTCCAGGGTGAAGATTTTTTAGAAACTCTGTTTACGATGTTTATGAGTAGACGGGGGGAAAACAGAATTTTGGGCTCGGAACGTGTTAGTACGAATTTTCATGAAATTCATTCATCTTGGTAACTTTGTGAAATGTATTATTCAAGTCTGCCTACCACGTGTTAACACTCCTACCTTTAGGTGTCTGAAGCTGTAACCTTATATGAGCGAAGCACCTAAGTAGTAGCAGATCTATCTATGGAGAGGAGCCAACTATATGTTGTCAGCAACTGTTTGCTAGACAGAGAGTCTACATATAATACGTATACAAATCATGTCATCTTCATTGTTTATGGTGATGCACCCAAATAGAAAGGAATTTGTGGGTTGCACCTTTTTAACAGAATATAAGCAGCACTGTGAACACTGTTACTTTATCAGCACTTTGTCAGTCAAGTGATTTGGAAGCGTGCTTGTTTGATGAAGTTGTCTGACCTCGGCCGATTAAATGGTGTTATAATCTCCAGTCTGTTTCACGATTTCTTCATTGGATTTATACATTAGAAACAACCCCACCTAACAGAACGTAATGCTGTGCGCAGGTTTCTCCTTTATTTGGTGTCATTTTGCAACGCCGTCACTTTAGGTTACATGAAATCAGTGCACTGGCAGACATAAACAAGCCAGTGCTGGTGTTAACGTTGCTAACTGGACTTTTTACATGCTTACACAAATATACCGGTACACAGTTACTCTTCCACTGTGTTGACGAGCAGAGGCGACTGAATGGACAACTTTGTAAATGAAATGGTCATTGCAGAGGAATGGCGAGAACATTTTGGCATTTCAAGAACATCGTTTTTGACGTGACATGCTCATGGCAGCCGTAAAAGTGTTAGCCGTTCTGTGTTTTCATATGTACTAAGATGTTTTTGAGAATTTAGTGTGGACGGGATTCTTTTTTTTAAACGGAGGAGCAAAACCTCTGTCTAAAAGAAAATACCCACCTAAGTCTGAACTAGGCTTTAATCACAACATTAAGTACTATCACTATTTGCTGACTGGACAGATTTTCACAAGATATTCAGCAGCTAACAGTCGGTCATAAATTGGAGCTTTAACTCCAACTTTTCACTGAAAACAGCTTGTGTAAATTCCGAAACCCCAATGAACACCCTTTAAAAATGTACCTGTATGACGAAAAGCATGCCAACAGCAATAGTGGTGCCCAGTGCCAGGCCTAAGGCAAAGAGTGTGGCAGCGAAGGCGGGCATACTAAAGGGCATGAGGGGCTGGAATTGGCGTACGGCACTCATGTCAATCTTCACAGTGCTCCAGCCAAATGATATCTGCATTGAAAGGGAAAGAAAAAACATTGACATGTATTACACCGTCTGTATAAGATGAACTTTCTGGAGAAAAGCTGCAGCTGTAACAGGCATGATGCAATAGGTCAAAAAGACTACTGACCCTCTCATACAGCTGTGTGTACATGGTCATAATGAAGATGAAAGCAGCATGCGAGCAGCCCAGTGGAGCCAGCAGCAGGAAGCTGGTGAAGTAGGCGTGGTTCAGATGGCCGCAGCAGTTGTTTATCCAAGGGCAGTGGTGGTCCATCTTCATCACACACCTGGAGGGAGGGGAGGCAGAGGAGGAGAGGAGTGCTGGGGGAACTGATTGGTTGTTAGGGAGGACATAGAGTGACATGTTCATCAGCAAGTCACACTGGCTCTTTTTGCTTCGGAAAAAAGATGAACGCCACAGGGATATGACGTTAATCTATTTAACATCACATAATTAGGTTGTGTGATGTATGTAATGCCTCTGTGCAACACGTTGTATGCTGTCCAGGTACTCTACAGATGAGGGCCAAAATGACACGGACAAGTCAAATACAAGCACAAGCCAGTTTAAGTTTGATGTGCTGGGAGAAGGCTGATGATTGTCTATAGTAGTTCTATCACAGTGCGCTTTTGTTTTTGTCTAGGTCATAATTTGATTAATTCAGAATTCGGGGTAGTTACCTGTTACACTTGCGGCAATGGTGGGATCTGGGGGACTTGTATCCTTGGCACACTCTGCAGTACTGCAGGTATTGGGTATCCAGCTGATTCTCCTGTTTAAGGACAGACAAATGAGTCAAAATGTCTAATGCAACGTCCTACGATAAATGATTTGCTAATAAATGCAAGTCTTTTGGCTAATATTATCTGGCAGAAATGGGCGTATTACAGTATTGGTACATGTGGGGATAGGAGATTTATTTTCTTCTTCAAAACAAAGAATACAGATTTTGGGGCTTTGATGTTTCACATATTTTGTCTGCCAACGCCCACTACAATACTATCAAAGTCGTCTATTAATCAAAACACCTTTGCTTTGTCCAAAATGTTTATTTTGATTCCAATTTCAAAATTCACGATATTGGCTGCTTCATTTGCAATACGTGCTTTTAAAAAGGAAATATCTGTGTTGTTAGTGATTTCAAAAACCCAATATCAGCTGTTATCTAACTCTTATCTAATTTCAATTGAGGATTATTACTGGTTTCCAGCCATGAGGAATGTATCCAGGTCCAACGAACATAGCGTTGAAGTAGTTGTAGAGGATGAGGACGGTCCAGTTAAGGAGCATGATGAAGTTAATGCTACCACCTGTCGTGTCTAGCGGCCAGTACCAGATGATGGAGTCCAGAATTGCCATGGTGGAACATATAGCTATGACAGACAGGGCTATGACTGGTCCCCAGTGGCACAATCTCCTAACCTCATGGAGGTTCTCAAACGTCACAAAGGTTGACAGAAAATTCATCTTTTCGCAGCAAGGTCACAAGAAGTGTTTTGGCCGTGGAGTTCCTGAATTGTTTTTCGACAACACGTCAAAATGTTACTTTCTTCCTCTGCTATCTTGCAAAATCAGCGGTGAAGACAATGCACATATTTTTCCTCTTTTTCTGAGAACCCAGCAACTGGCTTGGTCTTTGGTCACTGGGGCTGTCTGTATCCCATCGTTCCTTGAACTGGCAAACAGCAGCATCCTCTCCTACCAGTCTGCGGAGCACACTATCCTTGTGACAGACTCAACTTCCCCATCTAGGACACAGAAGAGGGGAGACATTTTTTAAAACGTCAGACACATAGCAGGTTTTTAACAATGAAATACTAACATTGCTATCAGTCGCTTGACGTACTGTGGTTAGTTATGGTTTCCGGTTTTTCAAAGTTTGTACACTGTACAGACCACCTACATTCTACAATTCTACAAATTACTTAGCGGACGCTTTTATCCAAAGCGACGTACATCAGAGAGTAAGTACAACACTAATCCATTCATACACCACCAACGAAAGCAATGCGGGAGTTAAGTGTCTTGCCCAAGGACACGTCGGACATGTTGATCAGCTGGGGATCGAACCCTCGACCTTCCAGTTGGGAGGCGGCGACTCCACCAACTGAGCCACAGCCGCCCCCACAGCCGCCCCATCTTCTTTTAAAAACACATTTTTCTCGTAAGGCCTTCTTATAATCCTTGTTTCATCCAGGACGTTTTATTTGTTTTGCTGTTAACTTTAGCCAATCTTTGTTTCGGTTGTTTCTCTTTTCTCGGTTAACTGGATGATTGCTGCTCTGTTGTTTTACTTTTCATGCTTTTATTGTTGTGTGTTTGTTGGGATTTTTTTCTTTTTTCTGTAAAGCACTTTGTGACGTTGGTTTTGATGAGTGCTTTATAAATAAACTTTATTATTATTATTATTATTATTATTATAGTATACAAACAATCAAATTAAGAAAACAGTTTATGGTGCTGTGATATTTCCAATATTTGGTCTGACGTCATTCACATCAATGAGGTGGAGTTAACATCAGAATTCACTCAATTTCTACTATTTTCTTTCTAACTATTTCACATTTTTGTCACTCACACCTTAGTCATAACAGCCATACTACACTGTCAATCAGGAACTTTTAGAAATGTCAACAAGTAGCTAAAATAGCCTTTTTTGGAGAGGAATCTTAACTGGATGCAAAGCTGCAGCATCTCCTCCTCAACAGAGACCTGACTAATTAGCTGACAAGCTAGCTAATTTTCCCTGAGAAGAAAAAAGAAACAATGCAACTTTACTTTGAGTGCGCCTGCAAAAACAATAGCGAGACAAATTGTAATTAAAAAAAGAACCGTGCATTAAGTACTTTGCGTTTTTTGCTTTGGTTGAGCACAAGAGCTGATGTTAACGTAGAAAGCAAGTTAGCTTCGTTTGCTAGCCTGTTAGCTGGCTGCACAAGACTCGGGCTGGATTAACCTTTTCAAGAGGATAACGCTGCATCTTAAAGACGCGACAAATCCTCGTCCTTACGCGCACACTCGTAGTTTTTTTATGAATGGAGAATAAAGCTGTCACTTTAAATAACAAACCTGGCCACTTCCTTGGTTTTTTTTTTCTCCCTTGAATTTCTTCTGTGTGCAGACAGGAACCTTCCTCATGGTGTCTCAGGCTCTACGACACTTCAACCCCTTGTTGACACTTTTTTAATCGTACGCATTTTTTTGTATTAACTATCACAGAACTACAATTCGAATTAATGCTTTTTAGTTACAAAAATGTAAGTTGCTTGTATTTTATACTGCCAATCTTAAACCATTTTAAGTCACACCAAAAAAATAAAATAAAATAAAGGTTCCATTTCCTTCCCGAACATATTAAACTGAAACTCCAGGAAGAGACTCCATTCAGTGTTGTTATTATTCTCAGCTAACTGTCAAACACAGAGACACCTGTTTTTTTTTCAAACTTAAACGTCAAAATGTCCTCGGACTTTGAAGCATACGAACAGGACTTTTCAACATTAACAGCAGAAATTACAAACAAAGTTGGCAAAATCCCCAAACTAAGCGGAGGTAAGGCTGTTTAATGTAGTTGTTGGAGTCGTTTAGCCGGAGCTAGGTGTCAGCTAGCTGGCTTTTCTCTGCTAAAGAAGGCTAAGCGCGGCCAGCAGCCCTTGTTGTGTTATTTCTTTAATTTGCTTCATTTCTCCTGGTAATTTAACGTCAGAAAACAATGTTAAGAAACTTCTGTAGTGCACTCTGATGTAAAAGGACACATCACGTATTGTGGGCAGGTCTAGTTAACTTGGTTATAATTAACAATGATTTGATAGTTTTAAAAGTGTAATACTGAACTGAAAGCCAAATAACATCTATTCCATCCTTAAAATCCATTACCTTCCTGTTAATATATATTGATAAACACGTACATCAAACAAAGGGTGGTAATAACAACAGATCAGACATTTGGATGTCAGGATTGTGTTGTGTCTTCAGCACTGTTGGTTATAATTAACAACGATTTGATAGTTTTAGAAGTGTAATACTGAACTTAAAGCCAAATAACATCTATTTCCAGTGTGTATATATATATATATATATAAGATGATTTGTTTGTGGCGTGAGAGACAAAACACAAGCCTTAAGCTGCACTTCTTCTAGTTACTAATAACACTTCAAATATAAAAAACAATGATTATGATCACAGTGATTATTCAGTTCTTTACTGAACGCATATTCTTATTTTTATTAATAAAATATATATTTTTTTTTTAGCTTTTTGTGTTTTGAGCAACTACAAAAAAATCCATTACCTTCCTATTAATATATATTGATAAACACGTACATCAAACAAAGGGTGGTAATAAAAACAGATCAGACATTTGGATGTCAGGCTTGTGTTGTGTCTTCAGGTGTGTACTGGTCCCACTGAGTTTTTTTTTCCAGTTGTGTGAATCTGTCTGTGTGTTTTTTTCTGAAGTCGACATAATGTGCTTAAGTGAAGCTAGAACAAAGATCAAAGATTTGAAGTAAATAAATGCTTATAGAAAATATATGAAGGGATGGGTGATTCATTTTCTCAATTTTAGCTGTTGTTTTTAGAAATACTGTTCAAAAGAAAGAACCCATGTAGTCAAGTCAGGTTTTTTTGATGAACACTAATACACCGATCTGTTTGATTAGCTTGAATAGAATACTTTTTCTTTTATTCTTCTGCATGCCTCCATTGTCCATTTAGGTTATGTAGTCAAATGACTGGTGTCAGGTTGCTTAGCATTTGCTTGATTGGGTGGATGCTCGTTGTTTATTTAAGTGCTTAGCCACCTTAAATTAGGTGAAAGGAGTGTGCATTATCCATAACTCACACTTTCTGTGACTACCTGTTCGTCACGTTTACACAGGTCTGTGTTTGCGAGACGTTCATCCCAACTCCAAAGTAATTCCAAAAAGCAGTTAAATGTCACAACTTCATGGCACCATTTGATCTGGAATTTATCTGACTGCTTCAGAATGGTGTAAAATAATGACTCTTATACCCAGGCCTCAATCCAATGGGTAAACTGTACACAGGCTGAATGAGAAAGCGTTGCTTGTTTACATAAAAATTACTTTTTTTTTTACCAATTAAAAGAAAATCTAAAACAAAAATGTGACTTTTGCAATGTGTTTACTGCAAATGCTCATATAATATTGCAATAATGATGACAATCGATTAATATTGTATATTGACTTCTTCTTTACTCGGATACACTGTAGATCAAAATATCAAAATGGGGAGAGAGAAGTGTTGATGACATGCTCTGGGCAGATGATTGTAGAATCATAATAACAAAATACAAACTGTGCATTTTAACTCTGCCATATCAAGCATTGTCTTTCCATGTGGAGCTGATGCATTGGTCTTTAACCAACTTGTTTCCTTTACTAAATTCTGCACACACTGTTTTTTACCTTGATGACTCGGACACTACAATTTTATTCTCAAACAAAAGAGCCATTGAACCATACAGCTGTTTTAGGAAGACATACAGTCAATCTTTTCAGGTTTGGCACTTGTGCATACCAGCCTATTTGTTCTCATGAAGGTGAGAACCAGCCCTTATTTACCCAATTCAAACACTGTTTTTTGCTTTACTATTTTGTGGGCCTTTTTGCCTTCATTGGATAGGACATCTTAAAGAGAGACAGAAAAGGTTTGGCGAAGAGAGTCGGGGAAGACATGCAGAAAAGGGCTGAGATGTGATTCAAACCGAGCTGCTGTGAGGATGACTACAGCCTCTGTACATCAGGCATGTGACCATGAGGCCATCCACTGCCCCATGGTCATACTACCTAAACAGATTTGAGTTGCATTGTAGTTCATACAGATCACACTTTGAAGTGGATTTGAAATAGTTGTCAGATTTTTATTCAAAAAAACAAACAGACTTACAGCATACTTCAAGTTTGGCGCCGTTTTTTAAAATGATTGGTTTATTGGATTATTAATTCTCGGAGTTTAGATTGACAGATGAAATCAACGTATGTATTTTCAAACAAAAGGGCAAACAAGCTAAACAATGTCATATACAGAAAGTAAAGGGGGGACTTATGAAACCGTACAATAACAAAGGCTGTTAGCCTTTACGCTGCAATAAAGATGATTTAAAGCATTCAGTGTAGTCCGAGAAGGGACACACATTTTGTTAAATTTGTTGGCACTTCTGTGTCTATTCTCTTAACGGTAAAATATGAAGAGAAGTCTTTGTTTTCTTCCAGCATCACGAGACTGCTTACTTATAACGCCATAAAGGTTGCCATGTGTAATTAGCCTCTCTCGGGTGACTCTCTTGTCCCGGGGGAACCACATATGGCAATCAAATGTTCTGGTTTTATCATCACCACAAAATTTACAGCCAGTTTTTTTAACTCTGACTGGTGTTGTGAAATAAACTAAAGTAAATTCTATAACTTTTTCCATAACTAGTTGACTACTGCTTGTAGTTTGTTATCAGTTTGGACTGCTAAAAACTGAATCCCACCCCGTGCTTGGAGCATTTATCTCGTCCTCTGGACTCAGACCCGCTCATTGGTTTTTCAAAGGGCACAAAACCTCGCTTGACTGAATTTTTTTTTCCCTGGTTTGGAATTGGCATCTTTGAAGCTTCATGGCAGCCCATTCCACAGCGTAATTCCACATTGCTGCCTCTCGCCATCTGTTGACTGTGTCACAGTAAGCCCATATGAATATGTACAAAGCCAGGAAACACATTACAACCATAAGTAGCTGTTCATTGTCGTCTGCCACCAACAGAATAGTTTACAGTTGAATTTCAATTCCCTTCCTTCTCATTAAGGGTTTTTCTTCTCTTTTTTCTTAAGTCCCTCTGGCTCTTCTTCCTGAAGTGGCTGGATTCTGCCCTCTATTTAACACATTAATATAACTCCAGACAAAGAGCCATTGTCATAGCTGTTGTTGAATCTCTCTATTTTACATGTGCACAATTCCTGATAATGGAACATGGCCTGTGGAAAAGCTGTCCTTTACTACCTTCATTCATGGAACAATCAAGTGAATGGAAGGTTCAGGAAATATTAGAGCAAGAATATGATGAAATGTTAGGCTTTTCCCCGTGAAACATGAATGTCATTTCCCTCCACCTTTGAGTTGTTAGAGAAAGAGCTCGCCCGTCAATCATTTTCAACTCGAATATGGAGAAAATATTTGCCAAGCTCCTTCTTCTTCTTCTTCTGTATTTTGCTCTCTATTGTGTTCAGAACTCCTCATCCGTGTGTCAGCCAGTTGTAGTCTTGGTAAATATCCATACATATTTCACAGCCCCCCAGCTCCAACCTGAGTATGAGCAAGAAAGCACCATCGCGCCTTTCAGTGAATCGCCTCTGGCTGTTGACTGTGTAGGTTGGGGTTGGACACAGGTTTTAAAAATGAATTTGAGGACTGGCAAAAGGTAATGTAGGCCCATGGTGCCTGAGAAATAAAGATCTCGGCGTAGCTTATTTATGTTGTACTGCAACCCCACAACTGATAACCTTGTGATTTGCTTCAGAGCTTGAAGTTTTAGTGACGCCTCTTTGAAAATGTAAAGGTGGTTTGATTTTTATTGACTCAAAATTATTTTCTTTAAATAATACTTCGTTTAGGATTTGTTTTTGGGCTTTTTAGAGTGGATAGAGAAGCAAATAGGGTTGAGAGAAAGTGGGGGATGACTTGCGGGAAAGGTGCCGCAGGCCGGACAGGCGGAAAGACAGATATCAGAATTGATCACATTTAAGAGTTTCTGACCGTCTTTGTTTTTGAGAAAGATATTTGAGATTCATCTTGCTTTATCTGGGGATGCTTCTTTCCTGTTCAAGAAGTGTAACACTCATGGGACGATATCCACTGATATCCAACATAAACTGATTTACTGACACTTGCTGTCTATTTGAGGACATTAAGTGCTTTTTATTTGGTTGTATCTTTTTCAGGATCATCTGATGTCTTTTTGTTTGAGCAGACAGTTGTCACATCCTGGTGTATATTATCCTCTGGTGTTGGCTTGACAGACTACAAAACTCTTGCAAAGAAGGACTTGAACAAGAACTGCATCTCTAATATTCCTACTCAAGGCCAATTTCTGTATTGCATTTAAATATCGGGTGTGATGTGAAGATCTGGGCTGAAAATAGCAAGTAAGCCTCACGTAGTGACTGTTTTGACAATGTTAGGGGCCTTTGCAGAAGAAATGTAGACACTCACCGGTACATCATGTTTTACCAAAGATAATTTGACAAGTCAAAGAAGGTTGAGCAAACATGTAAATATTAAGAGAAAATAATGGCTGAATAACACATTCTTACAACCTGTCACATTTTGACCAAAATCCTTACAGTTTTATTTTGTTTCTACTTACACATACACTACTTCAAATGTATTTGTGTGTATCTGCCTGTGTGATGTGTGTGTGTGTGTGTGTGTGTGTGTGAAAAGGAGTAAGTACTCATAATCTGGAAGAAGTAAAAAGTTTTATAAGGGATTCACTTGCTCTTTTTTTTGTGAGGTTTGATTAGCAGTGACGTCCCAAAATTGCAGTTTGACATTTCTTCTAACACATATTGAATAGTTTTCTAGAACGGATGAGATAGTAAATGTTTCTCCTTCTTTTGTTTTTCAACACTTATTACTTAATTAACTTACTAAGGTGTTGAGTGTACAGCACATAAGCTATAGGCTTCTTTAAAACATGAATATGGACCATGGAGTCAGTCTTTCATGGCACACTGTACTTGAACAGTTGACGTGAACTTGACGCCTACAAATATTGCTTGACTGGTGTTTTTATATATTACCACCTAAACTAGTTTAACTCTTAAAATGCCACGTATGCTGTTAATTTTATTCTGAAGTTTCAGATTTTTGTAAATTTTCCGAATTCTGTAGAATGAACGTCATCTGCCATGTGAGCTTTAACTGATTTCATAGACTCATTTTGTGTGTAGCAATTATAAAAAGCAGTCCAACCATTTCAATTCACAAGAAAGTGATTCAGAAAACAAAAGTTCAAACCTTTTGTTAAAAATGTGATTGATTTGCTAATGTAGGTTATTTAATGATGATTATGCTCCTGAAATTGTGGTGCTCAATTACATTAATCATGTTTAAAATGACCTTTTTAAAAAAAAAAAAAAACATATCAATGCTTAATCACCGTCTTTTAGGATCAAACCTCTACAGTCCATGTAGGTAACTTTTAATGCCAAAGAGCTGATTCCAGAACAAATACCAGCACTTACACGTAGATACATTTAGCTGTTGCTGCCTTTAATACAAATGGATGTATTCTAGTTCACTCACCTCTCAGGAACTCTAGCAAGTCGTAATGAGTTTCAATGGGTAATGGGTTAGAGCAGCCATGGGGTGAGGTGCAGAACGGTGCGTAAGTTATTCTGAGCGGGACTCATACTTCTGGCAAGTGAGCAAAGCTGACACCTCCCTTCCCTTTGAGTTGGCACGAGGTGTCTCACTGCTCCTCAACGGAAACCTACAAAGGCCTCATAGACGCCAATAACTAAGAGACATCAAATGTTGGCTCATCGTGTAGAGAGAATGTGTAAATATATCTTCAAATGTGTCCTCGTGTGTTGTTTTCTCCCAGTCTCTTTCTTTCCTTCTCCCCCTCTCTTCCCCCGTTGCGGGGGAGTTAGGTTGTTGTCATGAAGCGCTGTTCCTCTGTCGGCTGATCAATATGTTTCTGTTTTTTTTTCCCTTTCAGAGGAGAAGACACAGCTGGTTCTAAATGTCGACAAACAGCTTGAAGAAGTCAGAGAGTTGGTACGTCTTTGATCATTAATTTTCTCCTCTTCCCATTTCCTAAATAATGAATTTGTGGAAGAGGGAGGAGACAATTTTCCCTGGCACCAGACAACGGCACCTGTATTATCCTGGTGGTGACATGACATACAGACGCACACACAAAACACACGCTTCACATGGCGGAAAGGCGGCTTCTCTCCTCGCATGATTACTTTCCAGTAATCTGCTTTTAAGTGACACCCCTATGACACATTTCAAGCCATTATCTGGAGGTGGGAGTCTTCATGTTGCTGTTTAAAAATGAGCAAAGTCACCTGACAGAGACAAATTGTTGTCGCAGTTGTCTTGTTATGTCACAGTGATTAGTTTCCACCAAATCTACCACACAGAGAAACCTGTCTAGCCATACATCAAATGTACTTTTGCTTCATTCACTGCGACGCCGTTGGGCCTCTGCATGTCGCCGCAATGAACGGGCCCTCATATTTGATTGCGTATTTATTTACAGAACAGCCATCCTATGTCGCAGCTTTCATCCCAGCTGAGTGACACGAACGGGAGGCGTTTTCTTTTTTTTTTACGATCAACTCTAGAAAGTATTCAAGTTAATGCCGCTGAAGTTACTCATTTCAGTTTGAATATTTACAGAGTTGTCACAAATTCTATCTTGGGCAGGTTTTTTTTTGTCATAGACAATGACTTCTTTTGAAGACGAAGCAATGTAACAGTTACAGAATTGTGTAGATGGTGAGAGAAGTGTGATCATTAGGAGAAAGGGAGAGCCAATAAATACAAGTGTTTATAATTAAAAGTACATATCTCACCAGGTTGGCAGTCGAACAGAAAGATTTAAAGAATGAACTCTAAACCTGTCAGCTATCCAATTTATTATCTAGACGTGATATTGGTTTTTTTATTAAAGTTTCAGCAAGGACAAAAATATTCTGTAAGTTTGTTCCATTAACTGTATTTACTGTGTGCTTCAGCTGGAGCAGATGGACCTGGAGGTGCGGGAGATCCCCATCCAGAGCCGAGCCATGTACAACAGCAGGCTGAAGAGCTACAAGCAGGAGATGGAGAAGCTGGAGAAAGACTTTGTAAGTACAAAAAAAACAAAAACTTTTTTAATCTCTTAGGAAGGATCGGCACATATTTACATTGAGGGGTGGGAATTGCAGAATGACTCAAGATTAGATACTGTAGTATAGATATACGATAAGATACCCGATACACAGCCCATGTCACAATACAGAGATTATATAATAATTGATAGACAATTATAGAATGATAAATCACCATACTTGATTAATTAAAGATTATAAAATGTGCCTAAAAAGGGAAAGTTTGGGATTCTTATATTTTTTCACTGCTGTTCGGTATCACGTCGATAATTGTATCACACGAGGCAGGATAACGAAATATTGCCGTATCAATATTTTTCTCCCGCCCCTTCTAAAGATGAATTTGTATTAATCCAACTTTTTTGCAAATCTTCTTTTAAAGTTTGAATTTTAAAAATGTCCCTCTGTATAGCAAAAACCTGTCTATGCTTATGACACACAGTAGCTGTAAGTTGTCATGTGGTTCACATGCACATTCATTAAAAAACAAAAAACAAAAAAAACTCCCTCTCTCTCTCTTACAAACGCAGAATATCTCTCACCAACAGCATTACACTGAAGCACAGGGGTGCCTCCATCGGGGTTAATTCCGAGTTTGGATTTGAACTAGCTAGTGATGCCTATTGAGAACAGGTTGTGTGTTTGTGTTGTTGCTGCAGAATCTGGCCTTGTTTAGTAATTCATAAATCACTGTATGTCCTGACTTGATCTCTAGTCTCTATCAAAGCTTAATGAACTGCCTCGTCCTCTGGGTCTTTTGCTTTAAGTTATCATTGTTAGTGACCAATAAAGCTCATGATATTTTACAATATGATACATTATAAATGAGCTTATATCGGATCCATAACTTGCTTGTTTTTTTTCTCACATTATAAGTTCAACCTTTTATTTGAAGTATCTTTGATTTCTTTGTATGAATTCAAATCATTACCATGCAAAAAATGAGTTTTATACTTAATTTCATCTATGCTCAGTCTGTTGTCTGTTATTGCTTTCTCTTTAAAGTTTTTGTTGTTCTTGTTGTTGTTGTGCTGGTGCTCACAACACAATAATAAACCCGTAGTGTATATGCAACCTGCTAACCTTGAGTGTAGAGAGGAGAGGAGTCCTTGCACAAATCAACTGTGTGAAATAACCCCCTCCTCCCCCCCCCCAAAAAAAAAAAAAAAAAAAAAAAACCAGAACAGCTTGGAAAATACACACTGACTCATACGTTGAAGAACTTTTAGAGTAATTCACAGGAAGCTGAAATTGGGTTGGTTGGGTGCAATGTTTAACCTTGCCATTGACTTGGTCCAAACAAAGTTATGTAGCCAACAGACTTTTCTTAAAGCCTTGAAATCAATTTAAAGAGTGTCTCAAATGTAACTTATTCCCTTTGATTGTTGGGTAGCTCGTGCTAGAAGAACTTGACTGCAGGAAATAACAATGTACCACTGTTACAAGTGAAAGAAAAGTTGAGAGTATCAGTTGTAAGAAAAAAAAAAACTACACCACGAGAAAGTGGATATTTTAAACATTCTTATGAATATTATAGAGAAAATGGACATGTTATACTACAGAGCTGACCTCCTTGTGTATATAAATCTAATTATTATATTAAGCATTTAACAACATGTATCACTTGCAATGCTTACAAACTACTGTGTTGCATAAAATCTGAGAATAAAGCACCTTTCCTTCAAATCCATCACCTTTCCAAACCCTTCATAAACTACCCGTTTGGTTGGAGATATGGCGTGCCAGTGATCTGTGTGCGCGCCACAGAGATGTGCTAACTGAGATCACAGAGCAGATCTCTGTGCCAAGACAGTTTACTTACCTCGCTGTGGGCATTTAATTGGCTGATGATTAATCTTTAACTTTTCTTCTCCCCACACTTAGCTTGCCTAATCATCAAGCTGGTAGCACCTGCTGTGGCTAAGATTGCTCCTAATTTATGTTGCTTTGCATTTATTTATGCCTGTTCTAAAGGGATACGTGGGGGGGGGGAGTAAGCATCCACCCTCTAAAAGTATACTTTTAATACAAGGCACATAAACCAAAGCTTAGCTATAACTCAATTCCTCACATATGAAATACAGCATTCTTAAGTTGCACACATTGCTGAAAAGCAAAGCAGAAGGTAGCAGCAGCAGGACAGTCCTAGTAGAGAAAGAATAAAAGATTAGTTTGGTTGCTTCTAGCCGTGACTCCGCAGTTATTTTCATTTGTGCACCTCTCTGTGTGATGTGGTCAGATCAGTGTACATTTAAACCAGGATCACCCACCCTCACAGAGTTACATCTCGTATATCTGGCCTCCCATAAATCTGATGCAAGTGCTCAGAAGGCAAGAACTTCAACCCCCTCAGATGTGCCTCAGATGTGCCAAATGCTATAGCCGGCCTCAGCCTCTCGCTTCCTGCAGGCCCGGGGAGGACATGACACTCTCGCTCTAAAAGGCATCTCCTGGAAAAAAAAAAAAAAAAAAGGGGCAATCTCCTTTCTTTTTAATGTAAAAAGCTCTGGCTTTGTTGTGCTTTTTTGTGGATATCAAGGCCTTTCCACTCCCTCACTACCCAATCTCCCTCCACAAAAACCCACCCCCTACTGGCCTCCCACGGGTGTCTACCCCCTTAACCTGCTCTCTCATCCTCCCATTCACCCCGTGGTTTGAAGTCTTCCTACCACCGGTGTGCCAGCTTGAGACCTCATTCCTGCTTCTTTTTCCAGACAAGGGCCCCCCGAGTCGACCTCTGTAACCCAGCCATTTCATCCAGGAAGACAACTTATCAAACGGGCATCCCAAAGGTGTATATATGAGATGGAGCTTTGTTGGCTTGGCTGACAGCTTCATTGCGATTAATAGAGGGGACATGAGGGGGTCTTAGAGGTGCTGGGTCGTGGCAAACTGTCATTGCAGAAGCTAAAGGGGGGATGCCAGCCTGACCAAAACAGAATAAAGGAAGTCAGAGTGGGAAAAGAATTAAAAAGGACAATGACAATCCTGTTTGATGGCTATTTGGGCAAGCAGTGTGACATGGCTCTTAGCAGCTGCTTTGATCAGGCACAGAAGAGGCCCAACGTAAGCTTAATTTAATGAAATCTATCAAGTAAACAGAGACACCGTCTTCAAAGGGGCCACGTGTCGTCTGTCCCAGTGGGGAAGGCAGAGGTCTCCAGATGTCTGCTGTGTCTCACCAAACACAATCAACTATTGAGGAAGTGAGTCAAAATGATATACACTGGTAATTGTAAATGTGAGATTTTTCTGACATGGGCATTATGATGAGACCTCAGCAATAAGGACCATTGGATCAGAGAGATGGAGTTGTGCTTGTAAGCGTTAGAAGCTCATAGCTGTGTCTACTCTGTTGTCAGTATGTATTTTTAGTATCGAAATCTGTCCTTTCTTTCAAAGTTCCTCCATGTTGCGTTGTTAGGTCCATGCCTCAAAATGTAAACCCATCTGAAATATTTTAAGGCCAAGTGAACTTACACCTCAGGACAAAACAAGTCAAACAAACCCGCTTGTTTAACACGTTTATTTCAATGTTTTAAATACATTTTAGTGTTATTCTGTAATCAAAAGCACATTGACGTTCACCAACTTCATATCACCCAGCCCCACCCTCTACATTTGACACATGGCAAAAATTAAAAAACAAACATAAAGCAATCGAAACCCCCTCAAATAAATCATAAAAAGATTAGGTTTAAACAACATAATACATTTACTATCAAATCTAAATACAATATCATCAAAGTTGAAAATACAACAAAATGATATTGTGTATAATCATGTGACGGCCCACTTTATAGGTTTCGTTTACTTAATTTGACTTCTCAGTATCAGCCTGATCACTTTGAGAAATGTTATAAAATGTGTTGAAACCTGTGAGGAAATTTGGTCACAAATATCAACACATGATTATTTTTTTTTTCTAAATCTATCTCCAAGTGGCTCTTATCTTTAAAAAAAAAAAATTACAAGAAAAGCTCCAAAACACCCCCAAAACAAAAAAACGAGAAAAAAAAAAACCTACAAGAACTTTACATGGTATGTCTGTAAACTTTATGGTCAGATAAGAATTTGAGGGAATGCACTTCAGCTTGCTGGCTAAAAGTAACAAAAAGTCAATTTTTCTAGAAAAGTAGCTAAGTAATAAAGGTACCTGATTATTTTAACACCAGTGCATCAACGGGAACAGAGTGAGACAAAACTGATTGCAGTACTTATTTGTCATCATTTGAAACAATGAAAAATACCTTTGTTTTCATGACATGATCATGTGGACCTTACAAACAAAACTCAGGAAGTGTCTCTTGTCTTTTTGTCTGATATTATAGATAGACTGTGATGCTTTTATTTTGATTTTCCGAGTCATCAGCATACTATCTCCCCCTCCCTCTCGCACTAGCCGCTGTCGTTGTTGACCTCTTTTTCCAGCAGATGGCGGTATCGCTCTAAGAATTCTTCCTCAACCTGAGGTATATGGCAAGGACAATATTGAGCACATTTAGCAATTACTTTGCCTTTCTGATGTCTTAAGTGGACTCCCTATGATAAATCCTTCCACTTATTACTATGTGTGACCTCATCCTTTAAACTCTGTAATAGAGATTAAAAATAATGTGACCAATATGTCCTTGTGTTGAAGCTCAGCTAATAGAGAGTTTAAGCAATCTGGCTTCTAACTTTAATGCAATTTTCTTTCATATTTTTTTTTTCCAGACCGCTCATTCTCTAAAAGTTAATTAAGGAGGTAAAAATAAACACGAGTGACTTAATAACTTATAGAAAAGGACGGTCTTTTTGAAATGTTTTCCAAATTCTCACATTTAAATGAATCTGTCTAACATTAGCGGTTCTTGCTGATATTTAAGCTTAGTTCTTTCGTAGAGGTGTTTTTTCCCCCCCCTTGATTTATTTATTTTTCTTCATAGCATAAAGCACCTCCTGCTCATGAGTCTTTTCTTGAAGTGATCATTGAG